GGTAAATGCAATTTTTACAAAATTTTACCTGTATACTCCTTTGGGACTAAATAGACTGCATATAACTTTTTTTGTTGAAATTCCGATGTTGATGTATAGTGCACCGCAAAGGGTTAAAGGAACATGAGTTAAAATAAAGTTAAGTACAGCCATTTATAACTATAAATATAAGATCAGTAAGACGCAAATAGAGGGACTCCAGGCATTACTGATAGAATCAAACTGACCCTATCAGTAATGTCTGAAGTCCCTCTATCGTTTCCTGTCTGGTTGGGGAGTATTTAAATGAGAAACGGAACGACAGCTTGTTAAAGAAGTCACCTGGTTTCCATAGCAAAGTCTGCTGGGAAATGGAGAAGCATTGTAACTATTTTCTAAGAGCTAACCCAAAAAAAAAATAACCTTGGGCCATCCTGGACAAATGAAATAATTTAAATTAATATTTGTCGAGTATATACAAGACACCATCATTATGTCTTCAAGATGAAGCAAGGCATTTAGATTTTTTTGCAGCCAATCGGCAACTTAGGCTCACCTTTAGTTTGACTCGGACCAGTGGAGCGTATTTTGAATTTTAAAGCTAGTTTTTTTTTTTTTTTTTTTTTTTTTTTTTTTTAGATATGCTTGCTTTTAATAGCCCGCACTATATTTAGCGAGACGCGACCATTTATTTAGGACTGTTCAGTGTAATTACGTCAATTCTTAGTTATTGTTATTAAGGCAATTCATAGTAAATTTCATTTAGATTAAAAGAAACCATCTGCATGCCGAGGGGGAGAAGAGTCGGAAATAAAAAACAAGCCAAAGATAAGGCCAAACAGAGAAAACAAATTTCAGCTAAGATGAAAAAATAACTTTATGGAAGAAGTAAACCATCAGACCTTGCCACAGTTCCGATTATGCTGAGATTCTAGAGGGAATTAATATTTCTTGCAATTTGCATGACCAAACATGACTGCCTATATCATCCCCACACAATCTACAAGTCAGCATTTGAAAGAACAACATTCTTCATCAGTATCAAATGAATAGCTGGAGGACATGATATAAAGATATCTTCATTTAGTTGGGGGCAGGCAGCAGAAAGACAAAAAAACTAAAAACTTTTGATTTGTTGGACCCATGCAGTTGGTTGGCCATAGAAAAAAATAAAAGATCACCAACAATCTTTCTTAAGCAGTGAATCAGTATTATTAGCTAGTAAACATCCAGAAAACGTAAACCTTAGTCCCATTAAACATGATGGCAGACATTTGACGTGTAATACAGAACATTAGTAAATAATGAAAAGCTTAGGAGATCTTGGTTCACATATTCTAAAAACAAGAATGCAGTTTTTCGTACACTCTGCAAGATTTATCAGAAACACGCGGTGCTTCCGCTACACCATACTACAGGATTCATTAATTGGAAAAAAGTTTTAAGAAAATAACTGAGCACGAAGCATCTGGAATCCACAGAGGTGCATCATTAATTGGAAAATTCTAGTACAACAAAGCAAATCGTGTTAAGGCATCAATCACGAAACTGAGCAACTTATTTATACAAAGAAAGAAAAATGGAGAGAAATTCTATATAGTCATGGATGCGGTACTGTATCTTTCAACAAATTGTCATTTTTTTCTTGGGTCTGGTGATATCCCAAGTAGCCTGTTCAGAAAGTGTGCTCGACCTAGCGAAGAAAATTTTCTGAATTTAATCTCTCCGTTTGCCAAACATAATTCAACCTATAAGTACCAGTCAAAGCACCAAACAAAGGGAAAGGAATCATATTTATCAAAGATAATTCAAAATGAAGTTATTAACTTAAAGGCAAAACAGTCTGAAGTAGCATTTTAAACGATATTAAAAAAGCCAAATACTACCCAATAATGTTCAGTTGCACTCCATATGTGTCTCATACAGAAAAAAAATGAACCAGGTCATTCAATATGTAAAAACATGTGGTGATGTGTGTGAGATAAAGGAAAATTTAATTGATTTCGTAGAAGTTGGTGGAAAGATAAGAGAATGTATTTCTTCAGTGCATTGTGGAAACTTAGTGTCTTAATTGACACTTGATAGTTTAGATATTGGACAATGTCGATGTCAGTCTTACGACAACTGGTCTAATATGGCTGGCATTTCTAAAACAGTACAAGCTAGGATTACAGAAATGAATAAGCTGGAGGAATTTGTGCCATGTTTGGCTCACTCCTAGTATCTTGTCATTGTGCATTCTGCTACTTCATGCCCGGAAGCAGTTAATCTGTTTGGAATTACTCTGAAAATACTTCGCTTTTTCTCGGATGCACTACTCGATGGTATATTATGAAAAAATGTACAAATTAAAACTTAAAAGGAAGCAGCCAGACAAGGTAGTCGGCAAAATATGTGGCTGTGAAACTTCTAATGAATTTACCGGAAATGTTAAAATATTTAAAAGAAATTAAAGATATTTCTCTTGATGTGGAATCAAAGCAGGAGGTAGAACATCTGGTACATACTGTGAAAAATTTTGAATTTACTGTCAACCTGAAAATTTGAGCTAATATTTTTCCAGAATTCATTTGAGTAAATATAGAAATTCAAAAGAATTCCTCTTCTGTGTTCTGCGTAATTAACGAAAGAACTGACCAAAACTGAGGAATTATAAAAAATGAGAGAAAAATCCTATGAAATATTGGAGACAAGAGTCTAAAACAGTAGCCAAAAAAATTGCAGTCGAGTCTATTCTGACAAAGAAAAAATTCCAAAGCACAAAAAGCAATCTGATGAACTGTTTGAGGGCGAATCATGAACACTTCAACCTGTTCGGATTGAAGTTTCAGCAAATTAAAACATATTAAAAAATATATACGTTCATCGGTGAGCCAGGAGCGTTTATTAAGTCTCGCGATTCTGGCAACCGAAAAGTCTAACCGCAGATCAAATTATGACGATTCCATGTACTTATTTGCAGAACAAAAGGCTTACAGACTAAAATTTTAATTTTCGTTACTAATTCCGTGATATTTTAATAGTGTTAAGGCAGGTAAGAGCTTAAAATTACTTATGAATTAGGAAGTATGAAAAACAAGAGACAGGAAGCATGAATGCTCTCAGTGATAGCCCATATTCTGTATAATCTTTTCAGAATATTTTCTTTATGCAAAGCCAGTTTACTTTAAAAAGTTCCTCCACGAAAGCCCCTCTCCTCTAAGCAGATAGCCTTCCTGTCTTTGCCATATTTATACAATCTAACCTAACCTTATTTAACCAGTATGCAATAACATGGAATAGTGAGAAGCTTAGGAGATGCCCGTTTCCCCTAGAGCGGAAAAACAAATGGTTTCGAAGACTGGAAGGTTAGAAGCACTCAGGATTAGAGTTAGGATTAGGATTGAAGCTTAGGTTTTTACTTCAAATGCTACCTATTTCTGTATTTATTATACAAATTAAAACTTGTTAGAGAAACTTAAAGGATGATGGGTGAGGGTGGCAGTTTTAGCTTTTGCCCCACATCAGAAAAATCAAAGATCCGGCGCTGCCCTAGTGTGCTATGAGGTGAATTGAAGCAGGACAGTCTATCAAAGATGTAGCTCTTTTTTTTACTGTTGATCAATCAGTAATTTCTCAAATGTGGAAACGTTTCCAAACAAGTCAAACAAATGTCCAGAAACCTGTGCTCAGTCAACCAAGGGATACCACCCCTTCTCAATTGGTATATTGCTGCAATAGCTAAGCAGAATTGATAAGTACCTGTACAACTATTACATCCGTGGTTGCAGTGTCACTTAATAAGATAATATCTGTGCACTGAAGGCTTCATGTTAAAAGTGCCAAGTGCTTATGTTCTACTTACAACTCACTCCAGAGGAGTAAGACTAAAGTTGTGACATCAACATCTCAGTTGCACTATCTTAGATTGGCACAATGTTTTGCTCTTGGATGAATACATATTTGCCTTAAAATCAGAGAATGAATGTATAATGGTCTGGTGAAAACAAAGTACATGGAATCAAGTCCAGAACATAATCACACATCCAGTGGTGGCAATATCGTGGTTATGGGCTGGAATTTCAATTGTATATTGTACCCAAGTACATATGTTAAAGATGGGTTCTGTGGCAGTTGTGTAGTACTGAGATGAAATCCTACAGCCCATTGTAAAACTCTATGCTGCAGCAATTGGTTTTGATTTTCTGTGCATGTGTGATAATCCCCATCCTCATTGAAGCCAACATCATTAACAAATAGCTGAAGAGTGAAGGCATTTTTTCATATGGAGTGATTGTCATATTCCTCCAAACTTAATCCCATTGAAAATCTTTGGGATTGCCTTGGGCATGCTGGCTTTGCACACTGACCTCCTCCAGCCAATCTCCGACATTTTGAAATAGCCTTAATTGGAGAATGGCCATTGCTAATATCTGTGTTTGTTGATAACTTCTTTGAAAGCATGGTTAATCACTGTAAAGTTTGCATTTTATGTGCCAGATGATCACATACCTTATTAATATAAGTTTTGTTTGTTTTCAGCTTTGAGCATCAATTTTCTTATAACCCAAATGTGATGCCATTATATAACTTAAAAAATTATTGTTTCCCTTTTTGTACTTAATGTTTGTTTTCTTTGCTGTATAAACATTTTCTGGGTCCATAAACATTTACATAAAATATGTATACATAAACATATCTGTAAAAACATTTTCTTTGTCCATGTTCAACTTTGGTGTTAATCAAAGCTTTTTTTCCCCCTTATTACCATCATACCCTTTTGGAAGCCAGTGTAATTAAGGGGAAAATATTTTAGCTATGTATCTATATTGTCAGCTGTTTTAATCTGGCAAATAAGTTCTTTATTCATTTATAATTTAATAAGTTTATTAATTTAAGTTAGTATTATTATGTAAGTTTAATTTTTCTCATGTGTACATGTGTATGACAGAAGGAATTATTTGTACTTCAAACTATCTAAAAGAATGAAGTGTTTATTTAAATAATGTCTTAAGCTTATTTATTGTTTACTTTTAAATTAGGAATGCCAAAAAAACCTTGGTCATAAATTGCCTCTTGGTGCCTATTTATTAAAACCTGTCCAAAGAATTACCAAATACCAATTATTACTCCAGGTTAGTATCTAAAATTCATAGATGTGCTGATATAAGTAAACAAATTTTTAATTAGTATCAGAAAGTAACTTGATTATACTTAATAAACATTTTATATTCTAATTATTTATGTTATCTTTATATACTATTTTATTTTAGGATTTGTTAAAGTTCTGTGATGAGAACATTGTAGAGCTTAAAGAAGCACTAGATACTATGCTCACTGTATTAAAATATGTTAATGACAGCATGCATCAGGTTGCAATTACAGGGTTCCATGTAAGTTCTCTTACTGTATTTTGTTTTCATTTTGACTTTTTATATCTTTATGACTTAACTTTTTGTATCCTTTATATATAGAGAAAAAGAGAGATCAGTTTGTAAAAATAAATCATTATTTTAAAATAATTGAAAAATACGTTCTGAAGTGTTTAGATGTGTTGGTTATTTGAATTCTGGCAAAGCATGCGAGAGATGTCTTCATTTAGAGCTTTTTAAGGGAAACTAGCTAGGATTCATTGTAGATGATGTCTCTTAGTTAGGCTTAGCTGATATCATTACCGTAGATCTATTAGCACAGACACAATTATTATCTATTATCTAATAGATCTATTAGCACAGACTACTGGTATTCACACAGTTTATTTTAATAAACGAGATGATATCAATGAAGGTTATATTAGGTTATTGGAGTATGGCAAAGGGCATATAGGGAACCCTTCATGCAGGACTTTCTAAGGGAAACTGATATTCATGTTACACATGGAGAAAACTACAAAAACTAAGCATGGGGCCAGCCATTTTCCTGGGTTCAAACTTGGGATGAATTACCAGCATTCAGCTATCTTTACTGCTCAGTTGTATAATAAACTATTCAGTTCATTCTATTTCATAATAGAAAATGTTGTTCGAACAATTCTTTCAGTATCTAAATAGTATATTTTTTAAATAGATCATAAGCATTCTTAGTTAAATTTAAAATATTTTTTTTAATGTTTTTCAAAAATATTTGTTTAATGTCTGTATAAATGTTCAGTTGAGAACTATAGCATAATCTTTTATTCTAAAGCTCTAAATTTCTATGACTGTTAGGCTATATGGAGAGGGTGCTGCAATATTAAATTATTGGAGATGTGGTTACTGTTTATTTCTTTTCTAAATGCCACCACCTGTTATTTATCCAAATGAAATATTCTTTCATATTTGGCAAGCTTTAATACTATAAATTTTGAAAACATTATAATTTTTTGTGTAAGCTTTGAATCATTGTCTTCAGTTTATATGAAAATACTTTAATTCCTTTATTTCATTCCTTATTTCAAATAACAATATATAACAGGATCCTTTTAAAAGAACCTCAAATTTTTGCTACGATTTTATTTTTTCAAAATTGTATACATGTACATTATAGTGACCACTGTAAAAAGAACTGTCAAGCACAAAATGTGAAACATGAAAAATGCTATCATTAAGAAAGAAACAGAATGTTACAAAATAACATTTATTTCTTGCATGCATCTTTTTACATACACTTATTTCTTGAATATGGTTTTTGGTAGCTATAACTTTATTGAATGCTTTTCACAAACATCCATCATTATTGTTAAATAAATCGTTATCATATGAAGAAGCAAGTCGAAAAATAAGAAACGTATCTTTTCACATTTTTTATTGAGACTTAACAACACGTGCACAACATTACAATGGCATCCATAGCTCGCACACAGAGAAGAAACTTGGTGTTGCCAATATGGTAAATATAAATGTACCAAACTAACACGCCTCCTTTCATTTATATTTACTAATTACAAATAAACATAGATATAAGCAACCTTTTCATCTTTACCATTTACAATTAAGCATAGATATAAACAATAACATTCAACACTTAACACAAATTATTTTTAAAAAAAAGTTTCTTTCATTAACTTAAATGTTAAAATCAAAGTTAAACACAATTTAGTTTACATAAGGACATTACCAAAATCTATTTCATTTCAAGCAAAATATTTAAATAAACATCACTTAAATAAACAGTATACAAAATTTATTTCAATTTCAAACCTTCTCTAAATTTCATAAATTTAATCTTTCCTAAAGACTTAGTAAAGATATCTGCAATATTTGATTCTGAATCAATCTTTTACAATTTCAATTACTCCATTTTGAACATTTTCGTGAACATAATGATATTGAACTTCTATGTGTTTTGAATTTTTAGTGAAGTTCCCATAATTAGCAATGGCCAAAGCTCCTGAATTATCTTCATAAATTTTAATGGGGTGAGTTATATCAGCAAAAACATCATTCACAACATTTTTCAAGAAATTAATTTCTGTCACAGCCTCAGATAGAGCAATATATTCGGCAAAAGTGGAAGATTTTGTCACACAATTTTGCTTTTTGGATTTCCAGTAAATTGGATTACCAAATAATTCAATAACAAACCCAGTAGTTGACTTTCTGTCAACAATATCACCTGCCCAATCAGCATCAACATAACAATTCATAATATCAGTTTTAAGATTTTTACTATAGGTTAATTTTAGATGTTTTGTTAAGTACAAATACTTTAAAACTCTCAAAGCATATTTGAAATGTGTCTCATCATAACAATTTTGAAATCTACTTAAATAATTTACGCTGAAAGATATGTCTGGTCTAGTACCATGACTAATATACAAGAGTGCTCCTATTAGATTTCTATATTTGACATTTTGATTTAAATTAGATTGGCTTAGTTTAAGATTAGTCTCCATTGGTGTATCATAAAGCTTTGAATTTTCAATACCATACAGTTTAGCTAAAGATTCAATATAATTTTCCTGACTCAGTGTTAAGATATTACTTTTCTCATTATCATATTCAATATCAATTCCAATGTAGCTTTTTACTTTATTTAAATCCTTCATTTTAAATTTATTATGTAGTTGTTCCTTAATATCATTAATTACCTGAGTATTTTTGCAACATATCAACAAATAAAAGAATATATACAAATACATCATTTTCAGATCTTACATAAAGACAATAATCATATTTACTTCTACAAAATCCTAGACTCTCAATATACTCGTTAAAGCACTCATACCAAGCACGAGGGCTTTCTTTCAACCCATATAGTGCTTTCTTTAATTTATACACTCTATTCGAATTATCATTATAGCCTTGTGGTTGTTTAACATAAACCTCAGACACAACATAACCATTTAAAAAGGCAGTCTCAACATCCATTTGATGAATATTTAAATTATACTGACAAGGAATATGAAAGTAACAATTTTAAGGTTTGCATCTTAATGACAGGGGAGTAAGTATCCTCAATACTATCTTTTTGCTGGAAACCTCGAACCACTAATCTAGCTTTAAAAACATTACCTGGTTTTCTTTTGAATACCCACTTCACATCTAGAATTGCTTTATCCTCTGGTTTAGTCACTAGTGTCCAAGTGTTATTTTTAACAAGACTGTTCATTTCACTGTCCATTGCCTCTTTCCAATGTCCAGCCTCACTGCATGTTGTCGCCTCCTCAAAGTTACCTGGAACTGTAGCATCACAAAAATTTGCACTAACACAGTAGTACCCGAATTCTTCATGAAATCGAACTGGTGGTTTGATTTGCCTTCTTGGTCTCATTCCACTTTTTGTTTCATCTTCATTTATCACACTGTCCTTGGAGTTATCATTACTCGATTCACACGACACTTCTTGAGGTTCATTCTTCTTATTTGTATCATCATTCTTATCTTCATCATCACAACCTACACACATTATGTCTTCTTCAATAATGTCAACATGTCTGGCAACTATTATTCTGTTATTCATCAAAACTCTATATCCAACTTCTGTATACCCAAGTAAAATTCCAAATTCAGCCTTTTTATCCCACTTCGACTTTCTCTTTTCTTCTGGTATTCTTACATACACTCTACTTCCGTATAATTTCAATTCATTAGCAGATGGTTTCCTATTGAAAAATATTTCATATGGTGTCTTCTTTACAACAGTATTTGTTAATGTCCTGTTTTTCAAATAAGCAGCAGCTTTAATTACTTCAGGCCAGTAACGTCTGTCAACTTTTGCTTCGGCTAAAAGACATCTTGCCATATCCATTATAGTTCTGTTGTAACGCTCAGCAGTACCATTTAATTCATATGGTGGGCATGACTTTATCTTATCTTGAAACCTTTTTCTCTTGCAAATTTGTATATCTTGCTATTCATATATTCACTACCATTATCACATCTTAGTTCTTTGATAGTCTTCCCTGTTAAATTTTGAATTTCATTTACATATTCAATTAAGCAATCAGAGACTTGATCCTTAGATTTGATACAATAAATTTTTGCCAACTTGCTATAATCATCAATAAAACTCACAAAGTATTTCTCACCATTACATCCAATTGTTCTGTGAGGTCCATTTACATCTGTATGTATAATCTCCAGAATATCTTCTGCTTTTCTTCTATTATTCTTGAATGGTAAATTGTGCATTTTATTTTCAATACATATGGCACACTTCATATATTCGGTTTCTATTTCTTTAGGGATTCCTTCTAATAGCTGATCTTTGCACATAATATCCAGATATTTAAAATTTACATGTCCAAATGAACGGTGCAATTTTTCTTTTAACGTTAACTTACTGTTGGTCAAATTTGCAAATATTTTACTATTTTTAACATAACTCTTTACTTTATATAATCTTTCTTCTTTCTTTCTTTGCTATTGCTACTAATGAACCATTGACATCATATATTTTAGAGAAACTTTTCTTTTGAAACTATTTTATGATTATCAGTAATCTTCGAATAACTTAATAAATTTGCTTTCATTTCTTTTACATAAAATACATTCTTCAATGTTACGATAGATTCAGAGTTATATACAGGAAAAGAAACTATTATATTGCCAACCTTTGTAGCTTTCAAAATCCTTCCGTCACCGACTTTCACTTGAATAGGATCCTTCAAAGTGACTTGCTCTTTGAAATATTCATCACTGTTTATAATGTGGTCTGTGCATCCGCTATCCAGTAACCAATTGATTTCATTTTTATTTGTCACAATATTTGCACAGGAACTTGTCATGTTACTTTCGATAACAGTGGTGTGAAAACTATTGCCTTGATGAGTGTTTATTCTCTGGTTAGAGTATGCTCCACGTTCACGATGTCCACTAAAAGCACGACTACGTCCCCGATTGTTTGAAGAACTTCGACCACGATAATTAGTGGAGCCATTACAACGATAGTTCCTTTGATGGACATGCCAACAATTCTTTTTAATGTGACCAGGTTTTCCACAATTATAACAGACATTCCCTTGTGGACCCGATTTGCTTGTTTCAATTTTGAACGCATTTGATTTTTCTGCTGGTGCACAATCTTCATAATCATTTTTCTCTTCAAGTAATTTTGATTTGATTTTGCTCTTTAGGTAATCGACTGTTCTGTCCTTCTCTGGTAATACATCTATTAAGTCACCAATGTGACTGTAATTTGAAGGTAATGCTCTTAGCATATAGTTCAATTTTTCTTGTTCCGTCACGGTGGCGCCGGCATGTTTCAGTTCGTTCACATACTTCTCAAAATCATAGAAAAATATATTACATACATCAGGATAATTTTTCAGTTTCACACATTCTAAGTTATTTCGACAAACAATTTGTAGAGATGTTGAAGTTTTTAAATACATTGCATCAAATTTCGTAATTATATCAAATGCAGTCTCACACTCGTGAATATATTCCAATTGCTTGTTTGTTATGGCGCCCGTAAATGTAATTTGTAGCTTGGATATCTTTTCTTTTCCTTTTCTTCCATTTTTCCACGTCATCGTTTTCACTGACTTTTCGCTGAACCACATCTTTACACTTTTTAAATTGAAGAAATTTCATCATACGCACTTTCCAATTAAAATAGTCCGAACCATCAAATAGCGGTATGCCGATATCGCTGCTTCTTGTACATGCCATTTTTACACTAGTACCGGTAACTTTTAAAACAAATTATAACTAATAAATTCTTCATTCATATTCACAAACCACGAGAACTGCTACCATGTTAAATAAATCGATATCATATGAAGAAGCAAGTCAAAAAATAAGAAACGTATCTTTTCACATTTTTTATTGAAACTTAACAACACGTGCACAACATTACAACGGCATCCATAGCTCGCACACAGAAAAGAAACTTGGTTTTGCCAATATGGTAAATATAAATATACCAAACTAACAATTATACCTAGTTCAGTTAGGCTGTTTGAAACGTTTTTAATTGCTTCTTCCACCATTTAATGAACATGATTTCTTCTGCCCAAGAGTTGGCAAACTGTGATGATGTTAGAAGTGGTGTCTGGGAACCATAACATCAGTTTCTAACAAAAATGCCTTTCTTCAGTCTGCAGTTTTTAACATTGCATCCCGTTTATCTTAAAAGAATACTGATTCCCTTTTTTTAAGTGCTTGGTAAATTGGAAATGTATCTCTCATTCAAAGGAATGATCATTGTGCACTTTCAGTTTATATGTGGTGTGTAAAATTTCTTGAAAGAACAAGTTGTGTGCATGAGGTGTTCAGTAAGTTTGCTTTTTAGTTGGTGATCAACTTTGGTCATTAATTGTGAAGGCAGGACCAGTGCTAGATGTTTTACACTACCTATACTAGATGTGGGTTCAAACTCTGGCTACTTTAAAATTTTATTGCCTAGTTTCATCTTAAAATATAAAGATTTTGCCTTCCAGTGCAGCCACATGTCCTGTGTAGCCCACCAGCCCTGTACGGAGGTGATGATTCTGTTTCATAATGGCCACTATAGCACACAAGATATTGCCATTTTAGCATGCAGGATTTTTGGAGATACAAATTAGTTTTATCTCCAAAACATTTTGCCTTTTATTTCCTTATTCCATATCCGTTTCAGTTATGTCAATTTACCTTGTATTAAATTGTGGATGGAGAGACAGCATTAGACTTTTTACAGCCCATTGCGGACATACATATGGAGATAGTATATGAAGATAGTGTTTGCTGAAATTCTTTCAGTTACAAACCTAATGCCCTTTTCAAATGCTTACAAAAACTTTCAATCGTATTTAAAAAAAAAAAAAAAAATTCTTTTTCATTAGAATTAATAATTATGATGTATAACTGAATCATTAGTATGCAAGTACTGTATTCTTTTCATATTAAATCTATGTACAACCTGAGAATTAAAAAATATATATATTTCATTAATTCCCCACTGTTTTCATGATGATCATGGACTGAAATGTAACAGTATTAACCGTATCATTTCATAGTTCAAGGTAAAGCACGTTATTGTATATTTTTTAATTTAGGGTTTTTTTCTTTGATACAAGTGAAGTTTTCTTTATAGAGACTGAATTTGATAGAAGAATATAGATGAATGCTTTCAAAATATTTTCTTTAACACTGCATGAGATGTGTTTATTCATAAAGCCTTATCTTTATTTACTTTTTTTTTTCATTCTCAGGGATGTTTGACTGACTATGGTCAGCTTCTCCTCCAGAGTCCATTTAATGTGTGGGTAGAAAACAAGAAGGACCGCATTAAAGAATTACGTTTCAAAGCTCATCAGCGATATATATTTCTGTATGAAGGATTGGTTCTGTTCACGAAAAAATATGGACGTGAGGAGAGCCCTAGTTATGCATTCAAAAATTCATTAAAAGTAAGCATCACTTAAGGAGTATTAATTCTTAATTCTAGCAAGTTTAAATGTTTTCAAAATGTTTCAGTCATATTGTGTTAACCCATTAGCCACTGGTGTTGCGTTGACGCAACGGTCAAAATAAATGCATATATAAATATAACTACCTAAGATATTTTATACCAGCAGATGATTTTGTGTAAGAAATATTATGAAGATTATTTCTGTAAAAAATATTTGCCTTCAACAATCATTTTGTTTATAATAATTAATCTCATACTTTAAGCAAAATTTTCGACCAGGTATTTTTGCTGAAAATATTTAACGAAAGAATCGCCGTCTTTATGAGTGATCTATTTTTAGTCAAGGTCACCGTTTATCAGAACATTACATCAGTCAAATGTTTATATTTGTGTTGGGAAGGAAGGGAAAACAGGTGTTGCGTTGACACAACGTCAGCAGGAAACGGATAGTCAATCTCCTTTTTCACTCATTCCTTTCGATGTTCTGGTTGTTTAAAAAAATGCCTAGAAGAACGAGGTATCTTACATTAGAAGAGGCCCTTCAAAGATTTTTTTGATGAAGAAACAGATGATGATGATAATGTTTAATAATGACCTGAATGAAACTGATCTTGTTGTTGTCCCCCCGGAAATTGCAGAAGGCTAGTGACGAAAGAAGAAAGGGAATGATAATGTTTCAAATAATGATAATGATATTTTACCAAATGGATACTTGCTGGTGGAAGTTGAAATTCACGTAAGAAGTATGTTTCGGCCTTATAAAAGCAGTTACAGTCATACTAAAAAGTTTAAAAAGCAGAAGACCGAAATCTTGAAGTGGATAAAAAAGGAACCGTTAGTTATGTCTCTCAGGAAGAACATGAAAAAAGAGATAGAAGAGAAATTATAAAAGACAAAACACAAGGTAAAACTAGTGCACAGATTTTCGATTTTCTTTTTGGTTTAGACATTTACTCTCTTCTCGTTGAACAAACAAATATATACGCTAAGCAAAAAGGAAAAAAAATGCCCAGAATTTATTGCATCTGAAGCCTATATGAGAAGATTTATTGGAATATTATTGCTTACAGGATATCATTCCTTACCTCAAGAAAAAATGTATTGGTGTTTTGATAAGGACATTTCTGTTACTGTTGTATGAGAATTGATATCATGTTTGCAGCACCGGAATATGAAGCAGAATTTTGCATTTGACAATAGTCAAATTGACAGTACTGATAAATTATGTGAAGGTGAGACCGTATCTAAACTTACTAAATATCACCACTTTTTACTACTGGAAAATATGAAGTCTCTTTTAGATTTCAGACACGAGAATGCATTATTCCTTTCGCGAACTCCTATTGAGAGTGTAGAATCAGCTAGAAATAGATCAGCAAAACAGGAAGACCTCGTAAATTCAGCATTCAAAAAACCATTGCATGGAGATGGTAGACACTTTTTATCATAAAGTCCGTTGATAACAAAAGACTTTGTTGTAAAGAGTACCATAACCAGACTGTTATAGATGCAAAGTATGTAATGTAGCTTTACATCATGATTGTAATCAAGCTTTTCATGCTTGAATCTTTCAAATGAAATAATCTGTATTTGTAAAAGAATACGATGTATATTTTAATATTAAATTAATTACAAGTAAAGTGATTTGTAGATTTATAAAACGTTATACAGCTAAAAAGTAATCCTGCGCTCCACTCAAAAGAAACATCACACGAGTACAATCCTATTCACTAAACATCCGTAGTCTTATTCCGCTGACGTTGCGCGAACGCAACACTCGCTTTTTCCACAGGTAAGAGCTTTTTTTTTTTATTTATTTATTTTCAATGTAAATTTATGTTATAGATTCTTAATTTAATATTTGTTAATATTTTCATGAGAAAAGAAACATTCCTTGTAGTTTTGGCAGTTAATGGGTTAAGATGAGTTAAAAAGTAAAATAATTATACTGAACTCCTCTAATATATTCTCCTCCACCCTAAAAAGTATTTCAGATTGATACTTGGAAATAAAGAATTTGCAATCTTTTGGAAAAAATATGTAGTTTTGATGCAGTAAATCTCATTGGTTAATGCTTGGGATGAAGTTAGAAGATTATGTTATTTTTGTTGTGGATAATCTCACTTGTCTGAATCAGAACAAGCCTGAGAATTTTATCTTGAAAATTAATAGAGATGAAATTGAAATGAAAGGTATGGCCATTGTGGGTCAATGGAATATGTAGACTAGCTATTAGATTATGTGAATAAATTAACTTTATTTTAATGGTGCAGCTTTGTTCAGTGTTTGCCATACTGTCTGAAAAAATTAAAGCAATGTTGATTTAAAAAAAAAAGCATTAAAAGACATATCTATTATTTTTAAAATACAGTTAAAGATCAAAAACCCATCAATCTAAAAATCTTGCTGCCTTTTGGATATCAGGCTTATATGGCTGTATATAGCTTTGTGGATTTTTAACAACACACTATCACTAGATTTTACTCATTCATTTTGAAGCTGGCTGCCATACTTTATAGGTTACCACTTTTATAACTGCAGCCAAATATATAATTTATGAAAGTTGCTACCCATAACTATAGGTCAGCCCTGTTTGTTTTAATTGAACTGACTACATTAAATATCTAATTCCACTTATGTTTTATATGGAAGTAAGTTGTAAAATAATCTCTTTTTATCATCATTATAAATGTCTTTCGTAATTTATTAAATGCAGTTTAAATTATCATTTTTCCAACAGGTTTCTGAGTTTTTAGCTGCAGATTTGATGCTCATTTATCTTCCTTATTATGTCTTATCTTTAATTAAATTTTCGATTCAAACATTGCTAGGATCATCTAATTCACTTAACCGAAAATCCTTTACGTATTTAGCCCAAAGGGCCTTAGCCCAGAAACGCTATTAATTTCATTTTGGCATTTTGCATTGATTCACTTTTCAAACTGTTGCCACCAAATACTACAGCCCTGTATTATATTTAAAGAAATTAAATAATGAAGAATTTGCATAAATGTATGTGTGTTTCTCACACTGTGATAAAATGACGGTACCTAGAGCCATCAAATTTTGAATAACGTACATATCCACCTGGATATGGGAATCTGGAAGCCCAAATTTGGAATTTGTTTTGTTATCTATTTCACTATTTCATGTTTTGTAAAGCATTTATGAGTTTTTGATTAAGAAACTCAATGATTTCAAAGTGGGCAATGGCAACACTATGCGGGGAAAAAAATTTTTTATCTCCAGCGTGCAAGACCATGTATTGGAAATTCTAAAGATATGCTCATTTTAAAATTATTTTGGGATATTGCTCTTGAATTGAATTTTATGGTTTAAGTGCAAAGAGCATGATATTTAATAAATCAAGGTAGCACACAAAACGTTAAAAAAAAAAGCTCCTTTGGACGTAATGTAAAATCTGAAAGCTTTCAGAATTTTTCTAAGTTTGCTTTTGTTAATTTTTTTATTTTTATTATTTTTTATTTATAAATAAAAGTTTTCTTTGTGCAAAGCAGGCTCGTGCTATATCCACTTTTTTGCAAATTGAAGATTTTTATATATTCTGTATTTTACTTCTTTTTTAAATGCAATGCCATTTCAGTATATGTGAGTTTTTGTTTATTATCATCCCAGTATACTTTTTAGCCGAAAGAGAATGGCTGAGTTGAAGGCTTGAAACCATTCCTTTGAACTTGAGAACTAGAATGGCAGATGGAATATGCAGCATGGGCACATGTTTTATGCAATCAATTACTCAATCGTTTTTTATGACTACTTCTGAGAGGAAAGTAAAGTGATATTGAATTGTTCCCGAGCAATACACTTTATTTCATGGAAAAATGGGTTTTTCTTTCTTCTGAGTTTAAAAAAAAAATACACATAAATGAAAGTTAGATTGAGCTTCATAAAATGTAACTGAAGTTAACATTATTTTCAACTGAAACAGTTGAGGGTTTTATAATTTACTCATATGTGTTGAAAATATATAATTATCAAATGTACAAACCTATGACCTTTGCTAAAATTTACAATATAATGTTGCTATCACTGGAACACTTGCTGCTGCTGCATTAATGGAAAAGAACCAAAATTGCAGTTCCCATAATCTAGTTAGATTAAAACATGGTAGAATTCTTCATTAATTATGAGTAAAAATTAAGCAATTTCTGGAAAAATATGTATTTGACTGTAGTCATAAAAGCATAATCTGTAGATTATGGTAGCTTTAATATTGAGAAAACCTGTAGTCGATAACATGGCCAGAGGCCATTGCATATTTCTGCTGATATCTGAAAGGCTGTATGAATTTTAGACATAGCAAATATTTTGTTTCTTTAATACTGTGCATTATCTCCGTATTCAGATATTTTGAATAATTATCAAAGTAATTCTGTAGTTGAGGAACTGTAGTCTTCCTTAAGTGTCTTTTTGTGATGTAATTGGTAGTACATCCGGCTAGCAATTTTAGAATCCACAGTTTGAAGACCAAGAGGAGCATGGCTGATATTTTCACATTCCTAATTCTGAAGAGACTGACTAGCTTGCTCTAGAGTGGTATCTGACTAAAATGTCCATAATTTGTCACCATCTATATTTGACCAACTGAGTCTCATATCCCTGTTTCCATTTGCCTTTTAAATGAAAAGAATATAATATATTTTTACTTACCATAAGCATGTGTGCTTGTGGTGTAACTCAAGGGACCCCAACCTTTTTTCCCCTTGTGGACTCCAAAGTTCTAACTTTAAGTATGTGCACCCTCCATAGATGCATGTGTATTCTTAAATGAAATATTTATTTGTAGGAAACTAAATGCTAATAATTAAACAGTTCCAATATAATATAAATATTTTTAATATATTTTTAATTATAACATTGAATTTATATACCTTTAAATATTTATTTTATTTATTTCGTATTTTCTGCATAAATACAGTGTTGGTGTTACTAGGAGCAGTACACCCTCTGGCACAGATTGTGCAATGACTGCCAGTTGCTGACATATTTCTTCGTTTTTGTATACTTCAGGGAGCATGAGCCCAAAAATTCACTAGTGATCTTAATATTTACTGTTTGTGCAACATTAAACAAGGAAGGATTGAAAAGGAGATTGCAAAATAAAAATTAAAAGGAAAAATTAATAAATGGACTTGGAATTCATATTCTTAATTTTATTTTTCATGGAGCGCTCAGCTTGCTTATTCCAAAGGTCACCAATGCTTCTAGGTACTTATGGAAACATAGTTCACTAGATCAGTAATATCCAATTATACAAACAGTAAGTTTCACCACAATGATACCAGTTACTCACTATTGAATGAAATGAGTACCTCTAATTAATTCACCTTTCCTAGCAAAGTTGTTGCTTAAATAATTTTTTCTTTAAAAATTATTTATGAACAAGTTCTCCCACACGCATTAACTAAAACAAGGTTTCAGAAAATATGAGTATCTTCTATCTCCAATTTTCTGGACTTTTCTATTGCAGTTTAATTTATTGATAATATTTTATCATGCATTCCTATTATGGACCCCTGAAATACAATGTTTATCTTGTCATGTTCCTCAAAGCTTCTATGGATTCTAATTGGAAGATACTGGTGTAACTGATAACATGTCCATCTAGCAATTGGAAGATTGATTCAAATCCCAGCTAGAATATAGCTGATATTTTTTGTTTCCTGCTTGAAAGTTTTATAATACTGAATGCATAGCAGTATATTATGCTTTATCAAAAATGCATAAAAGAAAAATGCATTTGAAATTCAGTTTTTATTTTATGAGAATTTTTCATGAAACCTGATGTACATCATAATATTTTTTGTATTATGTGTAATACTATTGAGACAAATAAATGCTTATATTTTTGTATTTCAGACATCACAGATAGGACTTACTGAAAATATGCATGGTAGCAAAGCTGAAGGAAGGAAATTTGAATTATGGCTACATGGAAGGAAACAAATATATATTTTGCAGGTAAATTCTGTGTTTAAAATTGTGAGCTTCATATAATGAATAATAAAACTTTGCCTTAGAAAATTTTTATTCTAGGCTCTTGCACTGCCAACTGCCTAAAATAGAAGTTTCAAAGAGAAAAAAATATAATGATTTTAATTAATCCAACTAATACAATGTCATGGATCCAACTCTTAATAATAATTGAAATTAATCTGTATTTCATGCTTTTAATTCACTTAGTTTATTAATTAAGAACATAATAAATTTGAAAGAAACATCAAACATCTTGCACTTCGCCAAATGGTAACAAACTGCCATATGGAAATAAAAATATTTTTATTGGACAGTGGCAACATATTTCTTTTAATTTTTTTGTTCACCCAAATGGCAGGCACAAGTCTCCATAGGCATTGGCTCCTACTAAGGCTGGAAGCTATGGTCACTTTATTATGCAGGCACCTAAAGTGGGCCATTGTTGCCTTCTATGAAATTGTTATTTTTAAGACGATTTAGTTAAGACAATTTATATCCATGCCTTCTTCAGGATTCAAACTCAAGCCTTTCAGTATGGCACTCAGAGTTACTAACCACTTTCCTATATGGTCAGCCATTTCTTTTAAATTCGCTGACTTTTTATTAAATTTGAAAGACAAATATCTTATGTTTTGCCAAGTGGCAGCAAACTTCTATATATCACTGAGTTTTCTAATTAAATTTGAAGCATAAATATCCTACAGTTTGGCAGGTAGTAACATAAAGCTTTTATATTGGTGAGTTTTTAATCAGAAGTTTCTTAAATTTGCACAAAATAGGAAATGAATAAGAAACAAATTCAAAATTTGGACTTTGATGTGCACGTGTTTGGACAGAGTACTACATGTTTTCAAAATTTGGTTGCTCTAGATGTCATTGTTTTTCTAAGGTACAATGAAATACATTCTGATGAACTCAGAGATTATGTGATTTAGTATAGCTAATGTAAACAAACAGTGTAGATGACTCTAACAAAATCATTCTTCCTCTTCTTCTCTTGTGGAATGTATGTCATTAAATTTTAAAGGCAAATATATTGCATTTTGTTGTTCTTTTTGCATTTTCACATATTTCTTTTATATTACTAAGTTTTTGAAGTAAATTTGAAACAAATATTTTATGCTTTGGCAACACAAAGCTTTTAAAATGCTGATTTTTTAATCAAAAGGTCCTTAAATTTGCACAAAATATGAAATAAATAAAAAATAATATAAGAATTCAATGGCTTCAAGATGCACATGTTTAGGTGGAGGAGGATTATGAATGTTCAAAATCTAGTGGCTTTGAGCACTGCCATTTTACTGCAATGTGAGGACAAACAAACATGCATACAGATTTTTCATTATTTAATAGCAGAGATTATACTTGGTGAGGTAATATTCAATAACATTTTACCCCAGTGGATCTAACAACATCAATTGTTTTATTGTTTGCTATAATTTTAATAGTTTACTTGTCTTCAGAATCACAAAAAGAATTTACCATTTCATCTTTCATGCTAACTTTTAAATTTTAAAGTTTTTTTTTAAAATAAAAAAGCAAATTTGAAGGGGAAAGAAATTAAACATCTTTCTCTCAGAGGCACTTTTTTTCTACTTTTTGTCTACTTATATTTAGTATTTTTTCCAAGGAATTAGATAAATGATATAAAATTGACATAAATTTTAGTTCACCTTTTGAATGTTATTATTTGATCTGTAATGCATTTGTCACTATAGTGAAAATATTTTAGTGATTTTTTTCCGGTTATTAACATTTTATAATTGGATAAAAATTTATCAGGTAATGAATATAAAAGTTACCATTATAAGTAGCACGGGCACATTTTGCTATCTAGTGCAACCTCTACCGGTCCTAATCCAACTTTTGTTGTGCCTCTTGAAAAATCTTACCATTCCTAAATTTTGTTACTAAGTGCTTTTCTAAATTGTAAAAATTTTGCCACCCCTAAATTCTGTCACCTGCTGTACAGCAGTTCTGGTGCCAGCACTTAAATTATTTAAGCTGAAAACCATGCTTATCTGTAATCTATAGTTAATTAATAAAAGTGCATTTGATGCATAATTTTTAATAAGTTTTTATCATCTCATATACACAATATCAATTATTGAAACATCTTATAAAATTTTGTTTCTGGTATCAAGGTGGTATCACATATTGTAAGAAGTAAAGAAGACAAATTAGTTAGCAGATAAAAATTGTTTTTGAATATTTTCATAAATTTGACTCATTGGATATTTTATGCATTATTAAGGCACCAACTCCAGAAATCAAGCTCAAATGGGTGTCGGAAATTAAAAGGGTGCTGTTTCAGCAATTTGAGCATCTTAAAGGTAAGTAAGCTCTTAACAATGTCGCTATAACTGCAAGCATGGATAAAAAAATTATTTTTCTTTTATAATACTAACAATAATATATATATATAAATAAAAAAATTCTTATAAATACTAACAATAAGAGTAAGTCAAGTCTTAATCTGGACGTCCAGAATCCGGATGATCTATATTCAACCTCAAAGTTACAAACTTCTGTGCATGTGTAAATGCATAATGCGTTTATGCATGCGCATTGGCATTTACGCATGTGCAATATACATTTATGCATGCGCATTAATGTATCACGGATGGTAAAAGCTACAAATTATCTATTATCTAGTTCATTAGTTGCGATTGCATTATTCCCTTAATCTTCGAATTGGATCCGGCTTATTATTTTTTGCAGACTGTTAGAGCAATTTTATAAAAGTAAGCTTGAACTTTCAATTATGTCAAAAAGAATTTCTGATTCTGGAGCTCACAAAGGATCTACAAAGCGAAAGCATGTTTCGTTGTCCATCAAGCAAAAAGTGGAATTGCTGCAAAAAATAGATAAAGGCATATCCTTTGTTTCTCTAACCATTCCGGAATCTGTTTATCAATGTACCGCTGCTCTGCAGGGGGTGAAACGTCGTGGCGCGCAATGAACTGGAAGTTGATCTATGAGCACTATCCTTATCTTCAGGGCAGATGTTTTTATTTTTTCTTATATTATAATTCCTTACTAAATGTAGTATTTCATATCGATGTACTCTGTCTTTGATATGATTTAAATCAAATTCCTCGTCAGTATAAATATCATGAATACACATCAAATAGTTTCTGGTTGCAATTTTCTAATTTCGACTATGTAATGTATGCTTACGCTGCGCACGTTGAAAGAAATGTTTAATAAAGTAAACAAATAAATATTAAGCTTTTTTTTTTTTTTTTTTTTTGTTTTTTGTAAATTTGATACCTTTAGATCATAATTGCTCTTTATTTCATAAATTACGGTCTCATATTTTTAATTTTATAATTTCTGCATGCCATCTTACCAGATTTAAACTGATGATCTATAATCCAGAATCGCCGAAGTTCCGACAAGTCCGGATTAAAGACTTTTGACTGTATTTTCTTTTATCTTAAGCAGATGATTAATACACAATTTATGTTTTATATGTTTATACTGATGAGTGCATGTCAGTTTTACATGTGAAAATGCACAATGTGGATTTTTATGATTATATTTTAACATGAATAACATTGTTCTGCATTTAAAATTTTTTTTTTCTGCTTCCAGTAAAATAAAAAAAAGTTCACTGTTGAATCCAAATTTAACACTTATTTTCTTCAGTAAGATAACAGGAGTAAGATGGGGCTGTCTATAACTTTTTAAGCAAACCATAACATAAATCATTTGTGTCTTCAAACCAAGATTCACAAGGGTTTTTAGGAATATGGGCACCAATGACAACAGCATTGGTTCTTGCTGAATGGTCTGTTTAACCACCTAACTGCAGCAGGTGTATATATACGCCTTGCTCAGCCGATGCATTAACTGACATGGGCATATATATACACCCTTCCAAACTACTATCATTTGCTTTGCGCTGCTACCCGTAAGATTATTTGCAAAGCTTTGGAATGACCAAATGACCTTACAAAGTATGCGAAGGAGGATACTATTTCAGAGAAGTTTGGGGAGAAATTGGAGAGAGGGGTGTGTCTAAAGCGGGGAAAGTAATGTCTGCACGGTATTGGCTAGTGTTGTTTTCGAGTAAAACATATTTTTTTTATTCTGTGTCCTCCATTTTCATTTACTTTTTGTAGTAGGTTCCAGGAATAAAGAAAGATATAACGGATGTTTCAAACACATTTATCTTTGTTAAATTATTTTTTGATTAACTGCTTGTGCTTCATATTGTTACTGAAACTAACCGTTTTGTAGACGAGTATATTAATCAACACCTTGCAAACGAAAAACCAAGAACAAAATTGTGGCATCACCAGTTCAGAAGAAATATATGTTTTTTTTAAGGCACTGATTTTCACAAGGTAAACATTGAAACCTGATCGTCAAAAGTGTTAATTCGGCACTCATAATCCGAATGATCTATATCCGACCTCAAAGCTAAAACTTTCTGCGCCGCGCCGCGTTGACACACATGCGCATAGGCGTTTACGCGTTCCCGTAACCTTTACGACTGTGCATATGCGGTTCGCAAGCGCAGAATACGTTTTTCGCGTGCACGTTTATGTTAACGGAACGTATAAGCAAGAAATGTGATTATCCTTTCAAGTTACTGTTGCATTGTTCCTTAATCTCGAATGGATCGGGTATTATATTTTCAGACTGTAAGAGCAATTTTTATAAAAGTAAACTGGATTACGTCAACGAATTTGGGGCTCCCAGATCTACAACGAGTATGTTTCCCATCAACAAAAAGTGGACTGCAAAAATGGATAAAGGGAAGGAACAGAGATTAGCAAAACGAAAAAATTTCGATTAAACGTTAGTCCGTATTCCTCGGCCAGCAATTACGGACTTGAAAGGTGAACTTTGTACTGACACGAATTATTCTTTTTAGAATTAAAGAAAGTATTTCACATAAAACGACGCAAGTTAAAACTTACATTGAGAAAGTTTAAGAAAGTAAACAAAAATAAAGATTAGCCTTTTTTTTTTAAATGATATCCTTTAAGTCATAATGTTCTTTATTTCATTTATTTCTATTTATTTAGAATTTCTGCTGCCATCTTCAATTTAAACTGGATCTATATTCCGGAATCGCCGAAGTCCCGACGATCCAGAATAATGCTTTTGATGTATTCACTTTACTGGTCTAAAAATGAATGCTCGAACTCCATTTTAAGGCTTTTTTTTTATACTTACATTTGTATTATACTTTTACTCAAACATACAGTTGTGCTCATTTTTTTTCTTTTTCTTTATTTTGTGGAAGTAAACAGTTTTGAGAAGGTAAAACCTGCACTTATTTTCCCCCTAATACATTGCATAACTACGCACGCCTGTATGAAAAACCGTGGCACTGGGAAATGAATCTTGTACGTTTTCCATGGCAGTTAAGGGGTTAACAGCTAAACAATCTCCAAAATTGGTATGGTCTAGTACTGATTGATCAGAAGCCTAAAAACATTAAAGTGCCATATGCTTTATTTTACAGTCACTCTTGCTTTAGTCTTACAATGTAATTTTTCAATACTGCAGCAAACAGAAAATGCAAACATCGGTAATGATGTTTCATCAATTGTACCACTTATACTTGGTGCCCTTAAACTGGTTGTTGTTTTACTCATTTAGTTTCTTTTTCCATTGTATCTCATGGTTGAGTATGAAGGCTACTTAATTTTTTCTTCCTTATACGAAGTAAAGGAAATATTGTAGCTGCAAAAAAATATCGGGTATCATATTTCAATGAAAATATCCATTTTGGCTGCTATCGAATGCAATTTAGCAATGTGTTTGAATGAGATCTATATGTAGAAACAGAATAAAGGACTTTCAAAACAGATAAAATGGATTCAGAAGAGATCTTTTCATGATGTCTCTATGTATGTATCTCACATAACTCAAAAATAAGTAGTCTCAGAATGTGAAATTTTGTATATAGGACTACTATATCTTGTAGTTGTGCGCCTCCCTTTTTGGTTATAATCAGCCTCACCAAAAGTATATATATATATATACCCGCTCTGTTACTTGGCTCGGTGAACTCAGTTTCTTATTCTTATGTGTTGGTAAATTGTGCAATTTTTGCTTTAAAAATTATTGAATTATGTTCTTCTTATGTTCCAGCTAAGGTATTTATGCCTTACCCGAAACAACATAAGTATTTATGCCTTTAATTAGTCAGTATGAAATAGTTGTAGAATTACAATTTAAAAGTTGTTTAAGTGGGGCTAAGCCTAATGGAGCAGCCATACTTGTTTACATTTGAAACTTAGCAAAATAGTGAATTAAGTCATTTTCTGCACCTTCTGTGTCTTTTTAGCAGAATAGTGAATTAAGTCAGTTCCTGCACCTTCTGTGTCTTTTTGTCGAGTAGGACCAAAAAGTAAACTTTCAGTTTTATGCACGGAAAAATCTGCCTTCTTGCCCACTGGTCAAATTGCTTGTTTTTGCGTAGGAACTCTGATTTTTAATTGTAAAATTTCTTTCTTAATTGTTTTAACTGTGTCTAATTTTTTATGTTGTTCCTTATTTTGCAGTTTTTAATGAAGATATTTTGAGTTTCTATGTATTTTTGCCTTGCAGCGAAGTGAGAACTGAATTAATTCAATGAGAAATATATCTCCAATTAAATTCAAGGAAATAAGTTTAAATGAAATGCAGAAAAAAAAATGTAAATAATTTAATAGGCCATACAAGGATGTCATGCGGTGTCTACATCGGATTCTTTATTTTTTAAAACTATTATTAATGATTATGGAGCTATTGAAATCTGGAGTACTACTCTACAGATGCATCCATGTTCACTGAAGCATGGTGGAGATTTGTTAATAAAAGTGTTAACTATATTTTGCAATCTGTGAGACATCGGTAATGTATAATGGCTGAATGATTCGTAAAAATAATGCTTTTAAGGGACACAGCTGCTTTTGTTTTGTGAAATTGGATAGAATTTGAAATTTAATAGCTTATTAAGTGAATTAATAGAATCATTTGCATTTATATATATTATTAAATATTTGTTTTTATTGTCATAAAAATGATATTTCATGTGTAAAAAGTAAACATATTCATCTTTAAAAATAAAAATTTTCACATTTAAAAATAGCATTGTTATAGACCTCATAATATAACAGTTTTATCTGGTCCAGTTTTAGAAAACTGAGGTAAATCTTCAGTTGTAATCTTCATGTTTCAGTCTCACTAGGCATAGTACTTTCATACAAATTAATTTCTTTACGATACAGTAGTTGTCTGTGCTCAAGTATGGGGGAGAAAAGCACAATACCTTGTAAAACTTTTTTGCAGTAAATATTAATGCTGCAGCCTTTATATGAGTAGAGATTTCACTGATGGTCTTTTTTTGTAGTATATATCTTGAAGTAATACTTGAATATGTCATTATTCTGTTTAGTTAACAGCTTACACTTCAGGGATAAAAGGGAATTCATTCACATTTGGGAGTAAAATTGCTTTTAGACTTATGATGCCACCAAGGGATAAGTAGAAAGAAAGTTAACCCCCCACACACACCTTAGGATGTTTGTTGGTTAACCATTGTGACAATTCTAAATCTATCACTCATTTATCCATCTCATTACCAAGTTATAATACACTGGATGCACCCCATGAGGCAGCTGATGCTACACATAAAGGAGGGGGAAACATACATACTCCTAAGTATGTATACAGGGAACATACTGCTAAGTATGTATACAGGGGTCTGCTTATAGGGGAGCTGAATATGCACTCTTGATACTAGTGGTCAGCTTTGACTAACCATCGTACTATCTAGGACTATACCAGAAGATGGCAACTCCAGTCTGCTGAATTATATGGAGCTAAGCTATCAGTCCTTGATCATTATTACAAGAAAACATTTCCTCACTTAATATAGCTCTCTTTTTTTAAACATCAACCAAAAAAATAGACAAAGGAATATGCATGAACATATATGTGTTTTGGATTTTTTTGTTTTATAATAGTTGCTTGCTTCTGCCATATTGATCAACATGTTAATGTTCTTCTTGCTGTTCAATATGCAAAAGTGTTGTTTTGATGGCATTTATATGTCATGTGTGATACTTAAGACATGCCTAGTAATGCATTATATCTTATACTGAAATCGAATGCTGTCATTAAATTTCTGTGTCTGAATTTAAATCCTTAATGGTTCTTAAATGAATTTTTCTGTTAAAAAATTTTATTTTTGAAATATATACTGAGTTCATATATTGAGCTTGAAATATATATTATTCATGTCATGCTAAATTTAATTTATCAAAATGAAAATCTTATTTTAAGTTTGTATTATGAAATTGATGAATTTATATTACTGTACTTATTCTAAGCTAGTCTTAAAATATATATTTTTTCATCTTTAGATGAGAACAAGAAACTGTACTCTGAAAAAATTAAATGTTTGAATGGGTTAATATCTCAATCTCCAGTTTCTAAAAGGTATCTAATATGTTCATTTATTGTATTTCTTTTGATTGTTTAATTGAATATTTGTATGCACATTACACATGGGGCAAACCCTAAAGATGCCTTTTAACCATGCTTCCAATATTGATTGCTTTGCCACAATTCAAACACAGGTTGAACTGCAACATTTTCAGCAATCTTAACCATTTTGCTGCTGGTTGGCACATGCATTATTAATCAAAAATAGTAAATTAATTTTTAAGTTTGGTGTAAAATAAAATAATTTTTATTAAGATTCGTCAAATCAAATTTAAACCATATTCTGTATTAGTCTTAAAAATTACAATTGTATTATCTTAGATCAGTTTTGTTTTAATGATTTACATAAATCTTAAAATTAATTTAATATTTTAGGAAGTTTATTAAATTTGTGTACACTCATATGTTTATGTACTTTCATCTAGTATCATCTGTGCCATAAATTTTTATAATAAAACTGCAATTTTAGAAACAAATTTCAAATACAAATTTAAATTTTATTAATAAAAATAAAATTCATATTAAACTTTAAAAATACCAAACATGACAAACAGGTAAACTCAATACAATTAACTGAATGTATATCAAGAAATCAAATTTAGAATAACTTTTTCTAAGTGAACCTATGATTTTCATTAAGAAAATTGACAGTGAAAACTGACAGTAAATTAAATAAATCTTCTGGAGTCTGTACCATTAAATATCATGCATTTACAGGAAGAAATAATGCTGCCTAAAAAATCCATCAAAATGATTTAAATTAGAAGTTTCTGAAAATATAAATTTCAAAGAATCTTCCCCCTTTCTGTGCACGTATTATCGAAAGTTTTTTTGCTCTTGTCAAACTTTTTAAAATTGTTTAAAATGCATATTGATTCAGCTTAAAATTAAATTTCAGTGGGAAAAATAGTTATATTAAAAATATGGAAAATAAATTATTTAAAATATTTACAATGTGTTAATTTATGTTCTAATGAGTAAAATTATTCCTTATTTTTGCATTTTTTATTTCACTGATTTTCCTAGTTTAAATTTATTTATATGCTTTGAAAAGAAGCTTTTGAAAAAAGTAAAAATAAAAAGCTAATCAGTACAGAGCATGCTTCCCAACTTTTTTTGTATACTGCGCCATTCTTTAGGTTTATTTTTGGGCTCTGTGCCCCCCCCCATAGTTTATTCATTACCTCTCTAGCCTTTCAAAAGTAACATATTGGATATTTTTTTACTGTAATCTATAAGTACTGACTGAAAATGCTTAAAAATTATCAGGTATTTATTACATTTACTCTTCATTAAATTACTAATTAAAATGCTTCATATAATAATTATAAAAATTAAAGGTTTCTCAGGGCATTTGTAGAGATGATTAATCAAGTACACAGTATAGGATATTAAATTTGTGGTGATGCATTTAGAATATTACACTTATAATTAATAACTTTAAACCCTTTGAGTAGAGAAAATTAACTTACATGCAGTTGGACTAATATAAATGACCAACTGACATGATTTAGAATAATATAATATTTGTAAAATCAAAGTGAATGCTTAGTGTTTGTTTTAAAAGTGTTTAGGCAAGCAAATTTTTCAAGCATGTTCTGATTGCCCGTTTGCTTTCTAGTACCCCCTTACTGTCCCTGGAATCAGTAATATTCCCTCACTTGTAGATAGCACCCACATTAGGAAACAGTGGTATAAAGAATTCAGATAAGTGAATGTTATTTCTGAGAGTAATCAATATTCAGTAGTTACGGCTCAAAGGCATCATTTAAGTGAAGGTCAAACTTGTCAAATAATTGGTAGAATCAAGGAAGGTCAAACACAAATGGATGTCGCCCAAGATTTGAATATCCCTCAAAGTGTCATATCAGGAGTTTGAAACTGCTTTTTAAGCACTGGATCAGTTGATTGACAGCCTGTTCAAAGGCCAGCAAGAGCAACAACTGCAACAGAAGAACCATTTTCTGTTGTTGTCGGCTTGAAGAAACTGAGAAGCAACTACAAGATAATTAGTTTTAGACCTTCAGGGCTGCCACAGGAACTCGAATTAGCCATTCTACTACTGCACAAAAGCTTAACAAGGTCACTTGTATGTGAGAAAACAATGGTTTGTGTCCCACTCACTGCCGTTGTCGTGTTCAATGGAGCCAAGATGACTGAGCCCAAGTACTGTTTGCTTACGAGTCCAGATATAGTCTGAACAGTGATTCTAGATGTATTTTGATGAATGATTCTAGATGTGTTTTGATGAGCGGTTCTAGATTCTAGATGTGTTTTCATGAGTCGTTTTGATGTGTTGCGTTGTGACACGCAACTTGCTTTCCCTTGTCCCTAAAATATCTTGTTTCTCTGACAACTGGTTTGAGGAGGAATCATGACAAGTGACCACACTGAGCTACTTGTCTTTCAAGGAGTTTCTGTAACCACTTGGAGATATGTGCCGAGGTATTGGAACCCCAAGTTAAATTGTTTAGGGGTGCTATTGGCCTAAAGCTTTTGCTAATGGATGACTATTTTCAGCCTCATCAAGTATATGTGGTGTTAGAATACTTGCAAACAGAAGATATTGTGGATAAATGGCTCAAAAATGGATTGGACACCTTACTCACCCAGCTTAAGATGAACTGAGCATGTGTGGGATGCCTTAGAGCACCAAATTTCTTCCCAGACCATCCAGAAGCTGAAAAGTGCAAGGTTACATGAGTAGCATGCAATTCGAAAAGATGAGTTCAACACTTTAGAAAAATCTATGAAACCAAGATGTGAAGTATGCATGTTTGTCCAAGATGATCATACACCATGTTAAAGAAGCATTTTTTCCACAAGAGATGACTTAAGTTTTCCATCATTTTCCAGTTTTTATAAATTTGGTTTTAATTTGAATAATTTTCAAATAACCAACTGCAAAACATTGTAATTTATGTTAACTAATTTTTTTGTACAAATTTCTATTAATAATTTTTAACTGTAATCTATAGTTGCATTTTATTTCTGTCATTATCCTTTAATTTTGATAACCAACTAAAATGTTATCCATTACATAAGAATTTTATTTTTTCAGCAAACAAGCTGGTTATAGATAGTTAATTAAGTTTATTAATATGATGTTTGATATTAGTGAGAAATGGAATTATAAGGGAATTTTTTTCAGTCATCTTATGTAAAACGTTTTATATGAATGCTCAATTTTACCTTATATCAAATAAGCTGTGACTACCTAATATATGAATATGAAAGAAGATTTCTTTCTTTTTTTTTTTTTTTTTATCCTCCTGTTACCTTTTTAAACAAAAATTCTCTACAAGAGTATTTTCCCCCTCTACAAGAGAGTATAATTTAAGAATTTTACTCCCAGTCACTCTCAGTGTGAAAAAGTTTACTTGTTGTGTGATATACAGTACAAAGTCTGTAATCCAGACTCGTCGGGACTTCGGAGATTCCGAATTAGGGGGTTTTTCCGGATTATAGATCATCAATTTAAATCTGGTAAGATGGCATGCAGAAATTCTAAAATTAAAAATATGAAACCGTAATTTATGAAATAAAGAGCAGTTATGATCTAAAGGGTATCAAAATTTTAAAAAAAAAAATATTTATTTATTTACTTTATTAAACATTTCTTTCAATGTAATTCATTTAAGTTGCTTCGTTTTTTGTGCTAATACTTTCTCTTTAATTCTATAAACAAACATAATTCCTTGTTCAGTTACAAAGTTCCACTGTTCAAGTCCTGTAACTGTGTCGAGAATACCGACTAACTTTTCAATCAAAATTTTTTCGTTTTCAATAACCTCTCTGTCACTTTCCTCACTATTGGAAGCGGTATTTTCTGGAACTAGAACCATAATGATTGGGGCATTGTCGTCGCAATGAAAAACTTCTGTTATATCATCTTGATTTATTACCGCTTCTCCACATTTCTTTACAAAATCCAATAACTGGAAAATTTCACCTTTAGTTTGCAATGTCCGAAAACCTTCAACTTTGTGGTTATCATCTTCATTGTGCTCACCGTGAAATATGGTAGCTGGCCATAAATTATTCCAAACATTTTTTAACCTATCTGGAGACACATCCTCCCAACACGTATGTGCATGCGTAAAGCATGCAAAAAAAAAGTTTGTGTCTTTGAGGTCTGGATTATAGATTATTCCGGATTACAGACTTTGTACTGTATTAGCAAACCAGGTGTATTTGATTTGAAATCAATGTCTGAAACACCTATGAACAAATAAATTCTTTACACATGTCAATCACAACTCAAAATGAATTTTAAAAGACTTGTAGAATATATACCCAGATATATAAATAAATCTAAAACAAAAAATTTGCGCACACACAACATTTTTAAAGTAAATACTTTAAAAAAGATTGTGCTGATGTACAAGAATTTTCAGTAATAAAATGAATTCACTTTTAATCAAAATGTGTAATAAATACAGTCTATTTTTGTTAAAAATTTTATTTACGTATACATGTTTAAAAAAAGTGGCTATGGTGAATTTTCTGGAATTCCATATTTTGAAGTGACCAAAATTAATTAATATATTTTGTTTCCTAGGGCTCATGTTGTTTCTAGTCAAAGTTGGGATAATACTCCACCTGTAAATAATAACATTTTAGATGATAAAGTTCCTGAAAAAACAAGAAGGGCAACATTCTCATCTGAAGCCAATTACCAGAAGGAAGACCTTGACAATCAAGATGATGGTTGGTCCACAGATGAATTGTCTCAAACTGAAGATGAAGACGAAGATGGAGACATTTTCTTGCAGACAGCTGAGGTAACTAATTTTTGTCTTATTTCTGTGGCTTGTAATTCTTAATTGTTAAAAAAATCCCAAAAATAGTTTTTAATAGCATCATCATAACTTATTTTTATTTGTTAACATATTTGAAATATGTGTTTAATTCTTAAAGAGGATATTGTTTGACGTGGCGTTAACCCTTTGAGCAGCATGACCGGCTTTATCCGATCCTGAGATTTTTATAACTTCATATATATATATTAGCTTATATATATATATTAGCTTTATACATATAAAGAAGAATGTCTGTGTGTTTGTTCGCGATTAACTCAGTCACTGATATAGCTATCATCATCAAGCTTTCTACAATTCTTTTCTTGGTCCTGGAAAAGGTTGATGTCCACTTTTTACAAAAAAAAAAAAAAAAAAAAAAAAAAAGCTAAAAATCGGAGCTATTAATTAAAAATGCTGAAAACACTAATTTTTGCTCTCATTTTTCCGAGTGGCAACAGTGTCACACCCTGAAGATAAAAATCTGCTTTATTTCAAGAAGTGTTATAACTACTTGCTTTTAAATTGTAGAGTTTGTTAATACAAAATTTCTAAGTTTTACAATAAAATAAAAATAGTATTGCCAAACATTAAACACATTATTCCTGATTCCAAAAATTCATGGGAAGCCATTGCGACTGTTCCCATCTTTGTATGACTTTAATCAGCTGAGATATTAATTAAAAACCCTGAGAAGACTAATTTTTGCACCGATTTTTCCAAGTGACAACAGCCTCATGTGTTGGAGATAAAAATGCTTTATTTTAATAAGTGCTGCTATTGTTTGCTTCCAAATCGTAGTTTGTTTATAAAAAATTTGTAAGCTTTACCTGTTTGTGCATTTGTTTGTTCGCGCTATTCATTTCTCACCAATTATGATCAATGTTTTGCCACATTTAATCGACTAAAATTGAATATAGGTGAAATATTGGATGGAACTTGAGCTTTTACAACCATTTGATTAGAAAGACGAAATCATTAAAACTGTGTGGCATTGTTGCTGATATAATGAGAGTTTATTTTTCTTTCGAAATTTTTTATGTGGGTTCCATATCACATCAGCCTGAAAAATGTATGAGTATTAATTGTAAGTTTTGGATTGTTGTTAGAGAAGTATTACAGCGGTATCGTTCTCTCTGTTGTTAGATACGCTACTCTCAATCGGCATCAGGTACTTCCGCTACTTTAAGATATTTTGCTTTTTAACTTTCTTCAATCATGTAAATGTCATCTTAATGAATGTAAGTTTATGAAATAGAAACTAAGTAAATAATTATACGAATTCACCTAAGAAATGCTATTTAAATACAGGTCTTCATGACAGATCCCAAACCCCGTGTCACTCAGAGGGTTAATGGCCCATAAAGTTAGAAACAATGATAAATTATCTAGACACTTTTATGCATTAGTATGATTGTTTATTCCATTTTATTCTGGTTTTAAAGTGTTACATAAAAGTATTTTTTTAGAAAACTAACATCTAATTCTATTTATATTTCATTTTAATAGTAAACAACTTATGTGTAGTAGTACTAAGTGCATAGATCTTTTAAGAATATAGTTCGTTTACAGGTTGCTTACAGATCGAAAACCATATATAAATATTCGAATAAAACATGAAAGCTGAAATCAGAATTAAAATTGCAGGTCTATGGATTCTGCAAAGCTATAAACATTCATGTACATGAGTCAAAATGTTATAATTTTTTACATTTTTATATTTCCCCTAAGGTTAAAGGCCGATACATAGTTCTGGGAGATTATGAAGCTGTGGATGTTGGAGAAGTATCACTTCATGAAGGACAGATTGTAGAAATAGAAAAAATTGGCTGTGCTGGATGGTGGTATGTGCGTTGCTTAGATACTGGATGCCAGGGCTGGGTCCCAGCATCTTATCTAGGTCCAACAAGTCATAATAAAAGAGGTTCTCGATCATCACCATCAGTGAGTAGTCAAGGTGAGAATGACGGTTTTATGGTTCTTTTACTATAAGTTTTGTTTTAAAGACTCATTTCTCTCCTATTCCACATACAGAGGTGCCAGTTCTCTTGGGTTTTTTTTATCCGATTGTCTTGCAAACACTAGTTACTGTTTATTTCTACTACCTTTCTCTCATTTCTCGTTAACTTGGCTTAATATTTCATTACGTGCACCCAAAAACATAATTTCTTATTTTGAAATCACTTAGACAAATGAAAATTTTTACTTAAATGTTACAAGCAAGTTTTTATTAACAAGAAGGGCAACATTCAAAAATAAAAAGTACAATGAAACTGTCTAAAATATTCTTGGCCATATTATCAGTTATCCCTAACAGTACAGAGCACAAAGGTAGAGTGCAAAAGGTATAGTCATATCAGGTGTAGTTTTATAACACAGTCAAATACTGAAAATCCGTCGACCTGAAATCCGCATTGCCTCTCAAAGTATAAACATTTAATTTACAGGTTCCAAAAACGCAATATGGAGAACGAAATACCGAAGAAAAAATACTTACTGAATAATGATGTCATAATTGCCAAATAATGATGAGCCATAGCGGAAATACCAAATTATTAATAACATTTTTTCTTTAAAGTCTTCATCGAGATAAAAAAGCAGACAATTCAGTCAACTTTTCTTTTAAGTTCACTTTTCACGTGATAAACTTTTCACGATTCATGTTGTATTTTCTGAGCTTTGCTGTTTCACGAGATTGTTTAATGCTGCCATTTGACATTTGTGGTAAGCGAAGAAAGTGCAATGTCGGGTGAAAGAAGCTAAAAGAGTTACTATTTTAGTATGTAACAATGCAGCTGGAATCTACAAATGTAACTAGTGGTAGTGAGTAAGAGCACCAATCCCAGAGCTCCGAAAGGAGTTAAATCCTTACCTATGATTTCCAGGAATAATAAAAATTCCTGGTTCACAAAACAACTTATGACCAAATGATTTATGGAGCATTTTGTTAAAGAGGCTAGAAGGCATTGTAACAGTGTGGGGTTACCATCAAATTGCAAGATTTTACTATTGTTAGACAACTGTTCTGCACATCCAGATGCAACCATTTAACACATTGAGGACGGCGTGTACCAATGGCAGCTCACACACAAATGGTTCATCTGGCAGCATGCACCACTGGTGGCTCATATCAGGTATAGTTTTATAACACAGTTTTATTAGATGAAAAAACTTCATGTGGTTAAAAATAACTTTTTTATTGAAAAATTGAAAAACTTATTTTTACAGGTAGACTATAAGACTTAATGTATTTATATATTTGTTTGTTTTTGTGGGTTTTTTTTAAACATTTTAGACATAATGGTGGTTCACCTTCGCAAAATCGGCAAAATGTTGTAACCCTTTTCGATTTATTTGTAGCAATGTTGTAAGCATTTCATCCAGGAGCCGATCAATAATACTTTCTCTAAATTTTAAAATATTAAAATGCTTGGTACCCCACCTCTTATGAATATATCGTGCATTAAGAGTTGATGTTGCGCAAATCAATTCTATGATTAGTTTTTTAGATTAACGGTTTTGTGTAAGGAATTATAATATGATGCAATTTGATCAATATATCGATGCCTTTTTTTCACATTACTGTAGTCAAAATAGCATCAGGTTTACGTTTACCATTTGTTCTTTCAATCATAGTACAAATATGATTGTTGCAAGCAGTTAACGTGCAAACTGACCGTTTGTCTGTAAATTTAAAAAATTTAACTACTTTAGGATTTTCAGCACTTGCAATGTCACCTCGTTTTTGTTTTAGTTTTGCTTCTGCAGGTAGAAATTTTCTATTTACTTTTACAGTACCACATAAATTCATTGATTTATCTAAAAGTTCTTCAGCTAAAGGCACTGCTATCCATTCGCACGCTATAGCAAAATCTGCGCCATCCTCAAAGTGTTAAACATATGATAATGTCATGACCCTTTTTTTTTTTTTTTTTTTTTTTTTTTTTGCCCCAAAAACATTGATCCAACCTAGGACCAGGGCATAATTCACAGTATTAAATGCCACTATAAATCAGAGTTTCTGAAGAAAATTCTTTCAAGTGACCATTCTATTTCACTTTGTGATTATAAAAAATTCACCATCAAAGACTGCATTTAAAGATCAGATGATCAATGATGAAATCATTGGCTCTATTTTGAACTCGCCACACTATCGACACAGATAGTGAATTTTACAGGAGTGAGAAAACATATTTTAATGAGGGTTTGGAACATGGTAGAAAATACCTAAAATTTTTAGAACAGAGCTGTGTCACAGAGCAAGAGATTATGACTCTATATAATTTACAAAAAAAAAAAAACTTATTCTGAAGCACCCTAAAGATTATAATATAATAAATATACATATAATAATAATTTAACACATATGATATATTAATGTAATAATGTACATAATAATTTAATTAAATGTATCTTATAAGCCTTATTTATTTTGCACTTTTAGTCTGAATAATGATTTATCTTTTCTGTCTTGAAATCTGCCCAACCTCTGGTCCCAAGCTTTGTGGATTTCTGCTGTATCGTTATTAAAGCAAAGACTAAAATTACAATGAATTTCCAACAATGACAACCACCAACTGACAAAATTTCCAATCAACCAACATGAACAGGCTTCCCTGAAAAGTGAACAAATTTATAGTGCTGCTGCTTTCTTGAAGAAAACAAAATCAGCGACTTTTATTACTAATTATTATGAAAAACTGAATTATTGTATTTCCATTAAAAAAGATACAAATAATAGGTTTTTGCATGCAGTTGTTTTGTAGTGTTTGCTTTAAGAATTAGTGATTGATTAAAATACTAATGATATTTTAAAGTTAGTTCATTACCTTAAAAAAAATTCTGTGTAATTATTATTTTTTTTTTTTTTTAATTTGGCATATTAGCATCTCTCTTACTTAGTATTTAGCTTCTTAGCTTCTTTACAGCATAATAGACTACAAATTTGGTTCTGCTGTAGAATAAGCTGCTGTAAATAGGCATTTTATTCTATTTAGATTGCAACATAAAGCTTTATGCAAATTATTAGATTCCCCCTCCCAAACTGTTGGCTCTGTTAGTCACTTGAAAAAAAATTAATTTTTCAACAAGGAAGTCTTGAACCATTGGTTTGAAATCAATATAGCTAATTAGCTAATTTCAGAAATTTAAATAGTAATGATAAATTACATCATATAAAATTAGGTGCCAAATTTCTCTCGGTAACTGAGATAAAATAACTGAATGGGAAGTTTTTAGTCCCTAAACGGTAGTGTACAGAGTGTGTTCACACATTTTTGGAATGGTTTTGCAAACATTTTTATATAAGCAAACCTTAAAATTTTATTTTCTAATATGTTCAGTCTAATAGTTCTTTTGTTGAGCTATCATATTACATCTTGATTTCCAAGATAAAAGTCCTTTTCTTAAAACATCAAAATTGATTTTATTCCACTTCTCCTTCACAATCTTCCAAAATCCATCCAATGTTTTGGGATGCCACTTATTATTTTTTAATAATAAATATACATTAATTTTAAAAGTCCAAATGTGCAGTAATCCATAGGAGACACATCAGGAGACTTGGAACGGAAGCATTTAAAGGAAACAGCTTCAATTCCGGTTTCATTTCTCATTTTTTTCAAAAAATAGAGCAGTAGATTTAGAGGTGTGGCTTGAAGCCTTATCCTGATTTTTTTTTTTTTTTTTTTTTTTTCCCCCTAAAGCTCTAAATCAGATTTGATAATTTTATTCACAGTTCCTACAGAGATATTTAAAGATTTTGTAATAGCTCTTTGGGGGGCTGGATTTTCCTTTAAAACATGAGATGCGACTTAAGATTTAATAAGAGCTATATGTGGCTTTGTTGGTTATGTATATTTTGCTTTTTCCACAGTCAGATGTAAAATTTGATGTTCCTTTCCTTTCACATTAATTATGTCACATATTTTACATGTAGAAATATTAAAACCATGCTTTTCACATCTTTTTTTATAATTGAATAAGAGTACCTGTCGTCCAACAGCGCAAAAATATAACCTTCGATCCATTGTTTATTTCTCAGCAACGTTATGAAGAAAAGAATATTTTTAATGTTGCAGATGATAAATAAACCTTAATTTGATGCCAGTCACATTTATATTTTAAAATTAATATTTAAATTCGTGAAGAAAATCGAAATCGTGACAAAAATTTGTGAACACCCTTTGTCTTTGTACATTCGTAACCATAAATTTATATTGATTTTATTGTACTTTATTTTTATTCATTATTATTTTTTAATAGTATATACTTCTAAATAAGCAGAAAATCATGTGCATATACTGAGGTAAATTATTTCATTATTATATTGAAATTATTACCTCATGTGTAGTGAAGTTTCACCAAATTTTGACTGCATAACAAGATAAAATCATCAAATAGTTTATGCTTTCCTTAGGTTAGTAATTCTTAATTAATTAATTATATATCTTTTGTATGAAAGTGATTGTTGCTATAGTTGATTTGCATTTTGTGTGGAAACTTATAGTTTTTTTACCATTCCAAGTCTGATAATCTTATTGAATTGAGTACATACATATAATAGTTGTAAAATTCCATGGCTTCCACTTGTTTTTGACACTTGTGTTTTTCAGTTTTATTTGTAAGTATAAAAGTACTAAATATTAGCAAAATAACTTCTATTTTTCTTTCACGTGGATTCTTGTTCATGTATTTTAAAACCCATTTGTTTTGAAAAAAATTGCTCAAAACATTTCTGGTAAAACAGATGTTTAATTCAAGAATTTCACCCATGATATATTTACTCTCAGCTAAGGAACTCAGATATGTTAAAAAAGCTATTTAATTACTAATCATTACATTCAAGATGCAGCTTAAGCCCAGGAGCCTGAAATCAAGTGTCTTTGCACCCTTTTTTAAAAAAATTTCTCATGATGAGTTTACATAAGTATTTGGATACTTTGAATAAATAAATTATGTTTAATAAAATAATGAAAATAACATGACATTCAATATTTCACTGGGCATCATTTAACTAAAATTATGTTTTTCATGTGCTTTGGCATGTTTCCTCCCCCCCATAAAAATGCTTCCATTCCTGTGTAAGAACTGCTTTTATTATAGCTTTTAAAGAAGTATCATGTTTGCTTACTATTTTCTCCAACTCACTTCACACATGTTCCATAGGATTTCACTCCAAACAATATGAAGAAGTTTCGATAACTTTAGGGTAATGTCTAATAACGACAAGTGAACATTTAAGGCTGTATGCCTGAGATCATTATCCTGATAGAACTTGAACATATTTTGCATTCCAATTTTTTTCAGAGATGCTTTTAGGTTTTCATTAAGTATATTTATATATTCACGATCCCTATTATTTTTGATAGGCACTAAATTTCTTATTCTAAAGGCAGGGAAACATCTGCAAAGCATTATGCTTCTACCCCTATGCATTACATTCAGTTGCGGACACTTAGCCGACGGGACACTTAACCTTTTGCGGCACACCTAAGAATTTCCTTCTGTACAAACAGAAATACTGAATGAAAAAGGATTTATAGGTTTCTCTGAATCTTCTTTATTTATAGTAGATGGCAGCTCAACACAAACCAGTCCATATATTTTAGCCATGTTTAGTTTTTAAAGACCTTCATTTTTCAAAGAAATCTTCCAGATTTTTTTAGAGTATAAAAGGAATTGTTTGAAAAGAAATTTCTATGTCATTTTTTTTTTGGCTGTATGCTAATCTCCTTATTCTATATTAGTTTTAAATTTTTACATTGAAATCTTGCTTAAAATCAAACGGTGAATCCTAGGTGTGCCCAGACCGGGCTCACCGATAACCTAGGACAACTGAGAGTCTGTATTCTTTGTTTCTCCGCGTCTTATTGGTCAGTTCATTGAAAACAATGCTCGTTTCAGCACTCTTTTTGAAGCTCTATTCAATCAGTGTGCCACTTTAGGCACACCCACAGAATTAAAATGATAAATGCTATCTTCACAAAATTTTACTTGTGTACTCTTCTAGGCCTAATTGACTACCTTTTTTTTTTTTTTTTTTTTTTTTTTTTTTTAAATCAAAACTCTGAATTTAAAAGGTAGCGTGCCAAAAAGGGTTAACCGACACCAGTCAGCTGACAAGATATTTAGCCGACACGGACATTTAGCCCACAGGGACACTTAGCCGACAGGACATTTAACCAACATGGACAGTTAGCCGACAGGACATTTTGCCGACACAGAGAGTTAGCCGTCAGGACATTTAGCTACGGGACACTTAACTGTCAACAGGACACTAAACTGACAGTGACGTTTAGCTGACACGTACCCAATAATTATTCAAACTTACTATCAAATACAAAATTTCTCGATTTCTCCATAAGTTCAATATTTAAGTTATTTTTTCACTATTAGTAAAATTCATTTTCAATGTTTAAAGATCTCATATGTGCTTTTGATTATTGTGTTAAGTAGCATTGTTTGATATGTATCGTGCTGTATGGTGTACATTGGCCAAATTGAAAAAGCGCTGAAATTTCTTGTCAGGGAATATGAATGAAATTTCGAAAGGAAAAAAGAATTTTTTTAGCTATGTACGGCGGTCACTTAATTACATTTTAACCTCTTCGTCGTCCGTAACACGTCTAGCGCATTCAAGTGAAACTTCTGCAGAGCGGCCGTAAACACGCGTCAAGCATTCTTCTACATTTTAAAACTTTTAAACGTTGAAAACATTTTCTAAATGTTATTGTTTGAGTTTTATTTTTTGTTTGTTCTAATACCTCCTAGAGGCAGTACTAATCAGGTATTCTATTTCTAATTGAATTCCTCACACGGGTTTTATGAAATTCGCACATTTTACATAAGATACAAAACAGTGAGAGATCTTCAAAGTCTATTCAGCAGAAAAAAGAGGAAAAAATGAGGTGTGAATTGGAAAGACAAGAAGGATATACGTTCGTAGTACAGTCCACAAAACTCTATGATTGATTGAAAACATGGAAAAGAACTGTAAAAAACCAATAATTGTAATAAGATTACAACAACAAAATGGGAGGAGTGGACCCTGATCAAATTAATCCTGCGTTAGAAATAAGCAGAGATTATTACTTTTCCATTATGCTTATTTCTTATAATTTACTTAAGATGCATTTACATTCATCCACTATGAAAGTTATGTATGTACAAAGAAAACAACATTACACGCTGCAAAAAACCAAGGGCTCGCTGGGTAGAAATTTTCATGGACAGGAGAGGACTGCAAAAGGGTTAATGTGGGATCTTCAGAAATTATCCATGAAGCTTCTTCATTTAATCAACTGGGTTCTTTTGAAACACCTTTCACATCATTAATTGTTTTTTTTTTTTTTTTTTTTTTTTTTTTTGTTTACTTAATGATATTAATTTTCCAATCTCGCTCTTCCAAATGCTTTCAGTTTTCTAATATGTTTATGTTTCATTACTATTTTACTCATCACATCATGTTACATTCTTTCTCTTACAAAATCATTTGGCTCCTTCCACTAATGAAATTTCCTTTTCCTGTCATGAAAAATCTGAATAATGCAATAAAAATTATTGTTATTCCTGAATTATACATTTTATAGAAGCATATGGTGGGAAGGGTTAGTTTAGCAAATATATTTTATTTATAACAATTTAAAAAGAGTGATTTTTTAAGACAAGCAAAGGTATAAATTATTTGTGATCTCTATAATTTGCAGTTCATGCCACTATTCTTGAGATAAAAAAATTCTGTAACATTTTATTGGCCACGCCTCTCACTTAAAATACTTACTTAGGTTAATGTTTATAGCCCTAAACTAGTGCATAATGTTTAATTTAGAAGTAAAATAATCTTTAAGGTTTTGTTTTATTCATAACTGAAGTTGCAGAAGGAGAGGGCCACAAACCAAGTAGGGCGGAACAAAGCGTCACATCGTTAAAGTCACCATAACGTACTGTGTTTTGAAAGTCGCGATGTGTAATTTTCAATATAATATGTTATATTAATGTTTTCTTATAAATATAACTTTTTGCAGTATCTGTTAAAAATGTATAAATTTTCATTTCATTTTACATTAATTTTATTATTTATTATTATTATTTTTTTCCTCTTTCATTCCTTCTCTTTCTTGTTTTTGGTTTAGCTTTACGGATAATTTTTGAAGATCATATTAAAATGTAATTAAGTAACCGCTGTACTTAGCTATAAAAATTCTTTTTTTTTCCCTTTTGAAATTTAATTCATATTCCCTAATGAGAAATTTCAGCACTTTTTCAATTTGGCCAATGTACACCAAACAGCACAATACATATCAAACAATGCTAAATTAACACAATAATTAATAGCACATATGAGATCTTTTAGAATCGAAAAATGAATTTTACTGATAGGTGAAAAAAATGACTTAAATATTGAACTTAGAGAGTAGTCAAGAAATTTTGTAATTGATAGTTTAAATAATTTTTGGGTATGTGTCAGTTAAACAACACTGTCGGCTTAGTAACCTGTTAACTAAATGTGTTGACAGTTAAGTGTCCTTGTTGACTAAATGACCTGTCGGTTAAGTGTCCTGTCAGCTAAGTGTCAGGGACTCCATTACATTAGGCAATAGGTTTTTCAAATTCAGTTCTTAATTCAGATTTTTCTACATATTAATTTGTCTGTCTGACCCAAATCTTTTTTTTTTTTTTTTTTTTCCCTGAAAATATAATATTGCTCTCATATGATAAAATCTTATTCACAATAAGTTTTGTGCATGGCAGGCAATTTTTTGTTGTTGTTGTTGTTTTCATTCTTGCTGTTAACCCAGTGTGTCCTTAAGTAACTTTCTACCAAGCTTCATGGTTAATTTTTAATAAAACTTTTCATCTAAATCTGTTAAAAGTTTTGCAATAGCAATTTTTGATGCTGTTTGATTTTTCGTAACAAATTGTTTGTTTCCTTGGTATTAGCTTGCAATGTGTGTATTTTCAATAGTTCTATGTGATTTACATCCTTTTATAACATCAAAGATAGTTGAATGGATCAACGATGTTTTGGATACTTTGAATACTTTTACTATTTTTAAAAAGATGAATTATTAAATTTCTAACCAATTTTTTTTTATTAATTTGCAGTATCATTCAGTTTTCACTTCATATGCAGAACTATTAATATGTTTTATTATACAGATAAAAGTTTCCAAATGCAGATGATAAGTCTTCTGATCCTATTAAAACAAAAAATTATCACAAGAAACATCATCTGGGAAAACATTTCAGCAGAAAATTTGAAGTGTCCGAATTATTGTTACACTTGATACATTTTTTTTATTACAACGAATATTTTGATATTTGGTTTTTACAACAAGCAAGCCTAAAAATAGTGAAGTAATAAATTTAAGAAAAAATTGAAGTTTATATTTCAGTATTTAATACAAGATCTGTGCAGATAAATTTCGAATTTATTCTGAATGGCACTTAAATTTATTCTTTATTTAACTGCATTATTGACAAAGGGCATATATATCTTCTTGTGTGAACACTGATTAAAAATCAATTTGTTTCTTGTCATAACTAATAAAGGCCATCCATTTATTATTTTATATTTTTCCCCAAGAAATGATCATATGAGGACTTTTCAAAACATTTAGAACATTTTTAAATTTTGCTAAATATAACTTATGTAATTTTATTTCCTTATCTTCATTTTAGCAGCTAATTTTTCGTTTCATTCATTCCACTCTTTTAATTGGAATTCTTTTTTTTTTTTGTATTTTTCAGATTCGGGCAGTGGGAGTCTTCAACGTGCAGCTAGCAAATCTAGTGTAGCTAGTAACATGAGTAGTACAAGCCAGGAAACTGCTAATTTATGATAAAGTAGCATTTTTCTTACAGATAATGCAATTGCAAGCTTCTACTTAATGTAACATGAAAGCACCTGCATTTTTTGCCACATGAATGAAATTTTACAATTGCATCAAATCATTAATATGATTTATATCTTTATACGTGAAAAGTATTTTGTGCTTGTTATAAACAAAACAGAAAAGTTCTTACCTAAAATCTCATCTACAGACTTTTTATAGCTTGTTTATTCATTGTACAAAAGCAATCATCAACCTAGTCACTAGCTCTCACAAACAAATGTTTGCACTTATTGTAGCACTTAAAAGACAACATTTTCTCTCCAGATTGGCTTTTTTTTTTTTTTTTTTTTTTTTTTTTTTTTTTTTTTTTTGGCACTTTTTCCTTTTTATTTCTTTAATTAATTTTACACTTTTTTCTTAAAGCATTTTAAAAAAAAAAACTTAATTTTATAATGCAGCAATATTAAATTTAAAAGATTTCAGTGAAATGAGTTTCTTAAAATAGATTTGACAGCATACAGTAAAGCAAAATATAAGTAGTAATTAAATCAGGCCCTTTGTGCTGCAATACTCAAATAGCAAATACTGATAGAAAATTGTAAATATATACATATATACTAATTGATAGTCATTGTATAGTAAAACATTTGAAGAATTCATCATTGGAATAAATTACTGTATGCCTTTGGCATTGTAATCTAATATAAAAAGTTTTTATTTTGTTGCTTATTTGTTTGAAAATTTAAACCTTGTATATTTGATGTAATAAATCAAAATGTTTTTGTAAATATTGTATACAGTGTTTTGTAAGGCAGTGCTGATAGTTATTTATTTTGCATAATTAATTAGATTAAGGAAGGTGGGAATCCTGAAAAATTTTTTTATGTTTCTCTGGAGCAAAGTTTTTATGTCATTTTTCATCTTGGGTAATGCTGTGTATGAATAGGAAACCTTTTTTATTTCAAATTTGGCAAATAAATACTTAAAATACTTTTTTCCATTATATTCTTACATTTTGTTTTCAAAATCTCTCTATAAGAAATGCAAGTAGTGTATAAAATTTGATGTTTTTCTTTAAATTGTGTCTGACTAAAGTTGTACATTTTATTAAATTATTTATGTACCAAAATTATTTGTACATGTTTATAGTAATAAATATTGTTTTATTTCACATATGTAACTAAATAATAATTATTTTTAAAGAACTAAATATGGTGTTTGTATATGTGATTATGGCAAAGCCTCGAGGGCTATCTGCGTAAGGGGAAAGGTGCCTTCGTGGAGGACTTTCTAAGGGAAACTGGCTCTTATACAGGTTACACATGTAGAAAACCATGAAAACTCCCATAGGATTCACGGGATTCAAACCTCGGATTGAACTACCACAGTGTTCAGCAACTTTACCGCTCAGCCACTGGTGGGTCAAAAGATTTATATGTCTTTACATATTTTATTATTTGCATAAATCAGTTTTTTTTAAAGAAACATGCCAATATAAAATTTTTAAATTAGGCAAGAATACAATATTTGAATTTATGTGCAAAATTTACATATAGGTATAAAACTTCGAATAAATTTCATCACATTGGTACACACTTTCTCCTTTCTTATTTTCTGTAACATATTCTGCATTTCCATTTTCATCATCTGCTATTAACAAATGTTCAATGACTTCAGATATTTTCATTAGGATTTAAAAGTGTTGCTCATTAGCTTTAACATCATTAACTCAAATATTTTACATCTGATATTGGGATCAGATGGCAGTATCAAATATCAAATTATTATGGCAGTATCAAATTGTAAGGATTTCTGCACATGGTAGAATACTGTGAATTAGTGCATCAAACTAAGTTCAGTTACTGCAGCCACTAAGTCACTGCAGTGATTGGCTAAAAGAGAAAAGCAGAAGATAAGATGAATGGTATGAAAAAACACTTCTAACCAATGCTTACCCCTTATTTAGGAAGGATAGGAAGACTCAAACTAAAAACATATTCAATTAAAAGGGTGGTCTAATTTTGGGATAAAGGATAGGTAACCACTTACATGACTAGTGGATATGAATCAATATTTTCTGTCCTTTCATTTTCATGCTATGTTGCTCTACATAATTCTTACAAATTAATTTTCTATTTTTGCATTTTTTTCAATATGTTTTCCACAAGTTTTGATTAGACATACATTTTCCTTATAACTTTCGGCGATTACTTTCACATGAATTCTCCACTTTAGCATTTTTCAGTTTGACCTAAACAATAAGCCTCAATGTTGCCTTGTCCATATGTTATCTTACTAGATCTAAACTGATGACCTAAAATCCAAAATATAAGTCTGGACTCTGCCTTTGTGTCGTATATACTGTTAACATAAACAAAAAAGTGTGTGTCTTTGAGATAAGTACAAATGGTGTTTCTGGGAAACCCAGAAAGATAAATTAACCTGAGATGATCAAAAGTGTTAAGGCATCTAGGAATATTGTTCCACTTGCAAGTTTGTTTTGCAAGTTGTGAAAGATTATCTCGATTACCGAGGACAGTTGATGAACTGTTAAATGCTTTCTTAAGAAGCCAAAATGTTCAGCTTTTCAGCAAATAAGAAGCAGCCCATGAATAGCAGTGATCAAGTTAATTGTTCCTTGTGAGATAAGATCACTGGAGATTCTCCCGTCCTTAACATTAGATAATGAACTGAGTAAAAGAGAAAATTCCTTAATTTCAGCATACTGTTAATTATCTTCTCAAGTCAAAATATCATGAATAGAACTTAATTTTCTATCATTTTTTTACATTATAAACTCCAGAATTCTTGATATGCACAAGGTCCAGGATTACTATATTTTAGGAATGAGAATCCAGAACCACAAGAAAAAGGAGATTGAGGCCTCTCAGAATCTCAAATAAAATAACAAAAAGTTTTAATGTACGTAGGTAAGTTGAAAAATAAGTTTCCCCTGTCGACTGTGGTCAGAGTGGTGTATGAAAGTCAAAAAATAGAATGAGACATTAAAGATATGACATACCTTTATTTTTCCACATAGGTACCAAGTACATTGAGACATTTGTCATATTGCTTGATAAGCTTCAAAAAGCCCTCCAGGAAAAAATCAGGGCTTTGCATATGGAAGAAGGTTTTTCTTTGAAGCTGAAATTTTAAACATTTGGCTAAGTATTGGATTTAAAAAGCTACGAATTAAGCAGACAATTTTTAATCTTACATTATTAAGTCAGAAACCATTTTATTGCACAATAATGCAGCTTCCCACAGGTCAATAACCACTTCGCACAGCCACTCTGTCCTGAAAATAAATATGTGCATTTAGTCATCCTGTATGTTACGTTCTACAGATTTGTCTCCTTGCGATTATTTTCCCTTCCCAAGTACTAAAAGTGTTCTTCAAGTAAACTTTCTTTTTTTTTTTATCCAGAGATGGAAAATATAAAAGAATACAACATTCTTCTCTTAACAGCCAAGCCAAAACATATATCTAAAAGCCTTCTCTCTAATTACTTGTTGTATTAAAAGACAGAAAGTGCATCAAAGTAAACTCTGTCATTATTTTTATTTTTTAATACACTCTGATTACTTAATTGGCATAATGTGAATATGCACTTCAACCTAAATTTCTGTTCATCGAAATATATGACAGAATAGTTGCTGGAACTAGAAATTCAGAAGTAGGGAAAGTAGACATCAAAACATCCTACTCAAAACTGATACTGATTTAACGTTGAATTTTCAATATTTTGTTTTTTGAGAGTTGTTTTCCTTCAATTTTGCCTTATTGAAACTTGACTACATTTGGACTGATTCTTTGCTTTATTCCATAAAAGGAAAAATCTTATGCACTATATACCTATACAGTCAAAAGTCGTTAATCCGGACTCGTCGGGACTTTGGCGATTCTGGATTATAGATCATCAGTTTAAATCTCGTAAGATGGCATGCAGAAATTCTAAAATTAAAAATATGAAACCGTAATTTATGAAATAAAGAACAATTATGATCTAAAGGGTATCAAAATTTACAAAAAAAAGCTTAATATTTATTTGTTTACTTTATTAAACATTTCTTTCAATGTAAGTTGTTTAAGTTGCTTCATTTTATGTGATAATACTTTCTCTTTAATTCTATAAACAGACATAATTTCTTGTTCAGTTACAAAGTTCCGCTGTTCGAGTCCCGTAATTGCTGTGCCGAGAATACCGACTAACTTGTCAATCGAAATATTTTCGTTTTCACTAACCTCTCTGTCACCTTCTTCATGTCTTTATCCATTTTTTGCAGCAATTCCACTTTTTGTTTGATGGTCATCGAAACATACTTTCGTTTTGTAGATCCTTTGGGAGCTCCAGCATCGGAAATTCTATTTGACATAATCGAAAGTTCAAGTTTACTTTTATAAAATTGCTCTTACTGTCTGCAAAAAAATAATAAGCCGGATCCAATTCAAAGATTAAGGAACAATGCAATCATCAACATTAACAGAAATAGATAATTAGATCATTTTAGCTTATACCGTCCGTTATACATAAATTGCACATGCGGAAATGTATTCTGCGCTTGCGCACACGCATATGCGCAGTTGTAAAGGTCTTACGCACACACGTAAACGCCTATGCGCATGTGTCAACGCGGCGCATGCGCAAAAAGTTTTTAGCTTTGAGGTCTGGATTATGGGTGTCCAAATTAACGACTTTTGACTGTATATCACAGCATGTACTTTCAAACTAAGTATTTACCAATGTAAACTAAGTTTAAGTATTTGACCGTTTTGATAAAAAGAAAATCGTATCTCATCGTCTATGTTTTTCGTTTATATTTATAAGCAAAAAATAACGTTTCAAATACTTAGGTTTTCCTCATATTATTAGATGATTTTAAAAAAAAATATGCTCTTTAATATGTCATTTATTGATCTGAAAATTGTCAAAATTATATGATTTGCACCCAATATTAATATTGGATGACTAAGTGGGGCATAAACACTGGAGATGCTTTATTTCCCTATTGTTTAACTCAACTATTTGCCTTCCAGTTTATTTTAAGCTTAACTAGATTGAATGCCAGTTCGCATTAGCATCACTGCAATGAGTCGGTTGTTTATTAGGCTGGCATAATTTTTCCACAATTTAACTGTGGCATAACCTTCACAGGTAGTTTTGACGAAAACAATCACCACATGGACGAACTTATTTTAAAACTTGATGGAACTCATCCTCTGAACATTTAAAGGAAGATGGGAAGTTATGGGAATATTTCTGAAATTTTGAGAACCCAGCACTAAAGCTAAGGAGAAAAATATAGGAAATTTTTATTGATCTAATTATTCGTCTCTCGATTCTCTGATGGTAGGAAAAGAAAAAGCTCATTTCTTGATATAATAATCACATTAATAACGTACCTACCAGTTGTGTTAACTCCAACTGTCATCACTACCCTACTCACTCTGCTCTCTGATTGTCCAGTGTCTGTGGTTTAAGAGCACAGTCTGTGTCCATGACCAATTCCTCAAAGAAAGAAATTAAGGGATCTGGCTGAATATTCTACAGCACTTCCTCATCATCTTATTCATCTCTGACGGAATATATGATCAAGGATATCCCTCACATTGATATGAAAGTCGGGTGGCAGCCCATACTATTGAAAGTAGTACCAAGGTTGGCACTAGGTATTTTTTACCACCCGCTAAAAGCTCTGCAGGTACTAAATTCTAAAAATGTTGCTACCTGGTGCAGCTACACTGGCTCTGGCACCACTCTGGAAAACACCCATTTTCATTGTCAAAAATGTTCAGCAGATTTGGTGAGTATACAAAATGTGTTCCAGGTATTCAGAAAGCATTTCAGTTATAATTGTCGTAAATAAATAGAACAATTTATCAAACTTGCAAAAAGAAACGATTACTGGCTTTCAGACCAAGGATGGCAGCATTTCATAAACTGCACAGTTTGCAGACTGCTGTGATGAAAGGGCACTATGAATGGCAAAGTGGTACTATACAAAACAGCGGTGTAGAAACTGCAGAACAACATGAGCCAGAGACAAAATAAGGGACTGTTAGCTGTAGTAGTGCATTTGGACTGATCAACTTGCTACACTAGAACAACTTAACTGTGTAACGTAACAGGAAGCTATCACAATTTTATTCAAAGTGATAGCTCAGCAAAAGA